GTAGTCTTGATCTGATGTCAGCGACAGCGTAGAGGGGACCCGAAGGCTCAGCGAGGGGACCCAGGCTACAACTATCCTACACAACAGAAATGCGGGACGCGAGCACCGGAACGTAGTCGGAACTCGCGGAACGGGCGGAGAGAGAGAGTGAGACAAGAGTAGAGTATATAGAGTGAGCCTAAGAGTACAGGACTACCTGGAGTAGACGAGATCAAGACTACAGGACCAGTCTGATCTCGTACGCCTATATATACTAAACTACACAAGAGCACTCAGGGAGTATGAGCCACTAAGAATGATGAGCCACGAAGAATGAAAGAAAGGAATGTCAAAGATAAAGGTACAAAGAATGAAGGGATGGACAAAGGGTAAGAGACCATAGAATGATACAAAGAATGAAGGGGTGGTCAAAGGAATGGAATGATGAAGTAAGGAAGGGTAGTGGCAAGAGTCAGCACGCATATAGTCCATAGACAGCGCCCCCGAGGGACGGAAGTCCCGAGTTCCGGTACGGAAGGGTGCGGAACCCTCGGAACTGAAGGTACGAGAGCGGAGAACCGTAACAAAGACAAGCTTGAGGGAGAGCCTTGAAAGAGGTACACATACTGTACTAACCATACTATACAAGGTAATAGCTATAACACATATTGAGTACAGTAAAACCTCTTATTAAGCATTACTCTTATTAAGCATAACCTCTCATTAAGTATGACATTTCAAGTCTACCATTATCCTTGTTGACACTAGAATTTTACTTGTTAACAAGCATAATCTCTCAATAAGTATTACTTTTTATGTCCACCAAGGGCAATACTTAATGAGAGGTTTCACTGTATATACATATCTACAAATCAGATAAGAAACTACACTTATTATAGCTAAAGCCCTATTCCCAGAACATCTTCAAATTGCAAACCTCGTTCTGAAACAAGTGCAGAGGGCATTTATCAAGCCAGCCACAGTACAGAAGTTGATGACAACAGTACGTGTTGACTATATGTGCATTTACAGTATAAGATAATGCACCTTATGTGGTTCTGTCTTGTTCCTGGAACATTGTCGGTATTGAACGAGCACAGGCCTGGGGGCGCTCATCAAGCCGACCTTAGAAAGGCCCTTCTAACTCGGTTTGCACAGTATGGTAAGACACAGAGATATATGATGCCATAAAACGTTACTGCAGCACCGCCTGCTATCGAACTTCTCCCTGGCAGCCATCCAACCTACAATTTCCTGTCAAACTTGATTTAAACAGCATAAACGGATCACAGACCTTAATAAAGCCATAAATATTACGGAAACTGATCACAACAACACGTGTTAAACTATATGTGCTATACAAAAGAATTTCTCTTAGACGCCCAGCACCGAGATGCGGTGCAACCAATGAAGAATATCAATACATTCATGATCTATGTTCATATCTCAGGCCGATCAAGAACACCGACACAGCATATCGCAGCACAGCATGATATCGACAGCAACAAGAATAGAACAATTAAATTGCACGCGACGATTCAATGGTCGACTTGAGAAACGAGCGCCGCTCACTCGCTCACCCTCAACACAAACACATTCGGCGCGACGAATCGCAACTTCTCCTTCGCCAAGTCATCGTCTCTTTCAAGTCCGTCAAAGTACACTTTTCCAAATAGGCAGTCTTCATCCACCCCAACCAAAATAAGTACAGCATAAAATCTTAGTAAAAATCACTCCAACATATAATAAAAAGGGAGAAGCTCACCGATCCGCCGACATCTCGCATACCCCACCGCATTCCCCACACCCCACATCCCCGATAACCCACTCGCGAACCCATCTGACTCGCGCCTCAATGCAAGTCTTTGTACTTTATCCTTATCACGTGGGTTGAGTAGATTGAACTCTGCTTCCGTCAACGGATTCTCCGTATACCTACACCACATAAACGTGCAGCAAAAGATCACATGAGCAACGCAAACGAGATGTAAGATTAAGGAGATTACGCACTCCTTCCACAAAGTCCCACAAACATCCGCCAACGTCACACCCTTCTCATTCCTCACAATCGTACACCAAGGAGCCGTTTTCGCCCGCGAGATGATCATCAATTCCGTCACCCGTGGTAACGTCGCACTCTCATCTTTCATCGTAAACGCTAAATCGCGGTCTCCTCCTTTGATACCTACACAACGACCTGTAGGAGATCTTCATCGTTAAACAAAGACACAGAGAGTCGACTGTGATACGAGATGAGATGAATGTTGTTAAGTGTTGACTGACCCGTCATTAGGTTACACTCCAGCCGAAATGGGTCGTACTTTTGTGCAAGGATGGGATGGATTTCAAGATCCGCCTCGAGGAGGTACAAGTCCTTCGGTTTCAACACAGGCCCGACTCCATGCCCATCCAGCAACACATCAGACAGACGCATTTATTTGCCCATAAACGAGAATACACTCACATCCAGGTTTCCATTTCAGCATTTCCGCCATCTCGACGAACTCGACGGGCTTGACAATGGAGTAGAAAGAAGAGGAGCTGTTGGTTAGTGTAAAGAAGTCAGATGAGCAATTCGGGTAAGGAACGGGGACGGCATCGATATAGATTATGCTTTGATCCGAGGATTTGACTTTCCATTCCGGTCGAGTCCCGTAAGCAGCCAGATGTCAGTGTCATAATCGATGGATTTGATGAAATACATATGATGTGTTTTTGCATTGTTATTTTGTCGAAGTCGGGATACACAGCCCAGACGTAGGTGGTTATACAAGAAATACAACAGTTATTTGTTTCTGTAAATTAAAAAAAAGTCTGCCTTGCGATGCAAAACGTGAACACGGGTAGGCAGACTTACAAAGGTCAAAACTACATCCGCATAAACCTAGTCATCCAAGCTCAAATCCTTCGTTCGGTCTTTCAGCCTCTCCTCAATCTCCTTATTCCGTCTATCCAATGCCTCAAGCCGCTCGTCCTTCGATGCATCATACGCAACAATCGTCTGGTTGAACCTATGTACAATTATTAGAAGGACAGTCTCCTAATGAACGGGGAGGATTAGATTAAGGAAGTCCAGCTCACGGATTGTCTGGAGACTTTTGGAATTGCTTGTATAGAAGTTCCTATGTGATTATATCTTAAGCAAAGGAATTCAATAACAGGCACTTGGTAGACTGACCCTGTACTGATTCAACCGTAGACCAGGATGCTGAAAAAAGACGCTATGAGCTGTCTATATTTTCGTAAGAAGACAAAATACCCACATCGTCTCTAAGAATGGGAAGCTCGCGCTCCTGGTAAGCTTCAAAAGCAGCCTAGACAGTGAAGGCTCAGAATCTTGGAGCGTTCTCGAAAGACACCAAATGCATACCTTGAATCGACGCTACACAGGTTCATCAGTACCTCATCTACGTATATGCGCGCCACAAAGCAACCCACTCACCTCAGGATGTTTCTCAAGACCCGCAGCCTGCTGACCCATGCTCGCTTTATCCTTCTTCGCAGTCACAACTTCCATCATCGCAATCGCATCATCAATCCCCGTCGCCGCAAACGACTCAACCCTTTCCTGCCCTCCCTTGCCATCATCAACACTCTCTTTCGGACTCAAGGGGACAGCTGCCAGACCACCACCTGCTGCGAGCGCGCCAGGTCCAGCAGGTTTCGCAGAAGCACCTGCAGCAGCGGTTTTCTTCTTCGCTCCTGCCTTCGGTGCAGGCTTCGGTTTCGCTGACGCTGAGGCTTCCTCTTCCTCTAGAAGCTTTTCCCGCTCTGCTTTTGCGGCCAGAGCCTCCTTGCGTTTGGCCTCTTTCTCCTCCTTGGTGGCCTTTCCCTTCGCTCCTGTCTCCCATTTTGCTGATTCCTTTCTCTCCTATAAGTGAATTCCAACAATGATTCATTTAGTGCGCATAGATGAACGATGCACGTATGGGTAGTTGAGCTGAGCGAGAGTTAGCTACCTTCTCTTCTTCTTCTGCTTGTTTCTTCTTAGCTTCGTTCTCTGCCTTTTTGGCACGTCCTGACTCTTTCTTTGCGTTGCCTCCTTTTGGAGCCATATCGATTGGGTAGAATGTAGAAGATGGAAGAGATGGTGGTTTGGATGAAGGAGCAACCTTCTTCAAGTTCTTGAGCCTTAACCTGAACGCTGATCATTACATGACGATCATGTGATCTCTGATGGCGTAGAAATTGAAATTGGGATTTAAGCACCCTGCACTCAAAATATTAAATATTTCTTCGAAACACTATTAGTATTAGAAAAACAAATTCTTTGAAAAATTACCAGACGAATGGGATAGTAGCCTTGAAGAGTATTATGTTGGACTTGATATCGATGCTGTCTCCGGGTTTTTCATCACTTATCGAAACAACTTTATGAAAAAAATATTGCACGGAATATATCCATTTCCTTTGGGTTTCAAGAGAGCATATTAGATGGTATGATATGGTGTAGATGAGTGGTGATGTACGTAATGCAAATCGAATTTTGATCTAAGCAAGAAAACTCAATAACTAGCTTTTTGTCTGCGACTCCGGCTCAATTGAGGCCATCTCATCTGCTAGTGCTAGAAATGCCATTACTTTTCTAACTTAGTAGGAGACATCTGCAACAAACGACTCACCAGAAACCACCGAGTCTTCAGATGTATCCTCACCAACCGTCCACCTCGCGAACTCACTAACAGCAATCCCCTGATACTCCTCCGTCGCACTCTTATCAAACAAACCCTTCTGCTCCGCCCACAATTGTACGACGTTCTTCACAGGTTGTCCAGCAAACTCTCCAGGGAACAAAGCGAACGGTTGTTCATACAGTACAGTCTCAGGACTACCGTTGACTAGTCGAATAGACCGAGTGTCGAAGCCGACGATCTGACGCGCTAGAGCGCGTTCGAGTTTCTCGAGGTCAGAGAGGAAGCCTTCTTTCGCGAAGACTTCCTTGAGGTTGGGAGTTTTGAGGTAAGTGAGTGCGAGAGCACCCATACGGCCTCGTGTTGGGTCTGTTGTAGTACCGTGAACGTATGAAGCGACTCGTATCCCTGCTTGGACAGACTCGGGAGCTGGAGGGAGAACGACGCTAATCGCGCGTCGAAGGGATATGTTTTCGCCGACTTTGGCAATTGTATCGCGGATGGCGGAGCTAACAGTAGCGGTCGACGACAACTCAGAAGGTGAGTCCTTCTGCATTAACGGTGCATCGAGGAGAGATTCTAAAGGGAACGGTCGAAGTAACTTCGGGTTTTCCTGGAAATCCTCAGGAGCCTCTGCATGAAACGCAGTCGTATGCGCAACATCCGAAACTAACTTCCCAAACAACTCGTTCCGTCCAACGAAGTCCGTCTCACAATTAATCTCAACCATGCTAGCTCGTACACCACCCGTTCCTTGTCCATATCCAGGTGAGAGTAACGAAACAGCTATAAGACCTTCCTTCGTTTCTCGTCCCCCGACTTTCTCTGCCTTTTTTGCACCTGAGATTTCGAGGTCTTTTTGTATCCATTCTAATGCTGCGTTGAGGTCGTTGTTGGTTGCGATGAGTGCTTCACGGGCCTTTGAGATTGAGATTTCTGTGCGTTTTCGGAGCTCGCTGACGAGCTGTAGAGATGGTTTGACCGGTTCGGAAGTCGAGTATAGTCTATGCGAGAAGGATAGTAGTGCAGCTCGCCTGCTTGATGATGCAGCAAGCTGCCTGAACTGTGTTTTAAGCATCGTAGATAATTGCAGACGCTTGACGGTCAGCAAGACGCGGTCAGAGTTTTCGAGGATCGACGCGTCGAGGTCACGTTCTCAGAAATTATACAGAAACTTTCCGCCTCACTCAAGTTTTACCAACTTTCCTCATCATGTTCAAAGTACCAAGTAGCATACCGCAGGACTTGCTTCTCATACACGACATTGTTTCAGAGCCTATCCCTGGTCCCTCAAGTGTAAAACCTCGGACAAGCGAAGATGCAAAAACACGGAGCGAATCTTCTAATTCTATCGACTCCAGTTCTGCATCTTCGGATAGTGAAACAGACAGCGAAGAGGTAGACGCTGTTGAAAGCCTACTTATTGATCCTGACGCGCTAGTTGAAGTTGTCAATGCTAAGTATGTACTAAATTTCTCTATGAAGTGAATTTTGACGTTATGACATAGACCTCGTTCGCCATCGCCATCTTCTTCCGAGTCTTCTTCCGACGATTCAAGTTCGGATGGAGACTCCGATGCGGAGGAGAAAACCCGTCCCGTAACTACTAGGAAACCCGTTGTCGAGGATTACGAAGACGATGACGAAGACGAGCACGACTCTCGCCTCCCTTCCAGTTCCTCTCTTCGAACCAAAAACGAACTAGTCGACTCTTCCGTTACACTCCCAGAAATTACAGAGATCGACCCACAAGAACCTTTAGAAAAAGTCGGAGAAATAATGAGCATAATCGAGAACGTCGTAGTCGTCAAAGGCCTTGCGTCTCAAAATGAGAACAAAGCTTCTGAGCGGGCGTTAGACTCGGAGAGTTTATTGGTCTTTGAGGATAGGAAGGTGCTTGGTTATGTGAGTTTTGGCTTTCATTTCCAGACTTCGGAGAGTATTTAAAACAATCATTGTAGATTCATGAGACCTTTGGTCCAACTTACCAGCCTCTTTACCAAGTCAAATTCTCTTCAGCTGCTTCGATTGACAAGAGTATGATGTCAGTTGGCCGTGAAGTATTCCACGCCCCACGGCGCAGTCATTTCGTTTTCCCCAGCCAGCTACGGAAGATGAAGGGTAGTGATGCGTCTAACGTTCACGACGAAGAGGTTAATGAGGACGAAATGGAGTTCTCTGACGACGAAGCAGAAGCAGCTTACAGGCAGCAGCGTAAAAGGAAGTGCGTGCTTTTCATTTAATTCACCCCGCCAGCTATTCATAAGGTATTCATTAATTCTAGACGAGAAGGTTACCGCGAATCTTCCGTATCGTCATCCCGATTCTCCACACCAACTCCTACACAAATGCGAGACCAAGAGCTCAAGGATAGTTCCTTCTACAACGCATCTCCCTACGATGAGTACGGCCCGTATGATATCGATTCAGCACCAGGACCATCTCGGCCTGCTCCTCTCCCTTACGACGATCCCTATCAAGACGTACCTGTAGCACCTTCGGAGAGCGGAGCTGAACGGACAAGGGAAGAGAGGTCTAGATCACCTAGTAGCCCTCGAAGTTTCATGCCTGATCGTTCGCGGGGACGAGGCCGCGGAAGAGGGTATGATAGAGGACGAGGGCGTGGACGTGGACGTGAACATGGTGGTGGTCGAGGTGGTTTTCGCGGGCGGAGACCGAGTGGAGAAACACCTTGGGCAGAACGTCAAGGTTCTCGTCCAAGAAGCTACAGTCGAAGCGACTCTCGTTCTCTCTCTCCTACTTCAATGGCTATCGCTCGAGCAACTGGCCAGTTCGCAGACAACTCAGCTTTCCCTTCTCAACTTCTATCGCCATCGTCACCCTCGACTTCCACGCAAGGTTACTGGCAACGACAACAAGAAAATACAGTATATGGACAATACACCGACCCATCTCAACATCAGGCATACGGTGGTAGTAGTGCCCCTCAAATGTCTTCGTACGACCAGCAGAGCCAGAACCAAAACTACTCGCAACCGCATATAAATCCGCGTTTCGCCTCGTTATTTGCTATGAACATGAATTTCATGCAAGGGCAGCAGTATAACGCATATGCTGCACCGAATTCCCCCGTAGCGAGTCCGTACTCCGCTTATAGTCCTAACTCTTCCTGGGAGGGGAATGCTTGGACACAGAGCGGACCACAGGGGAATGCTAGTGGTAGTGGTACTCAGCCAGATGGGACTAATGAGTATGCTGTACAAATGACGCCTGAAACTGACGAGTACCGTCCTTAGTTTATACATTTTTTTCCCATTGCATACAGTTCCTTTGTGTCAGGGTACTATTGACTAGACAAATAACCATTAATATACTGCATATTTTTAAAACATGACTTCTTGTCGCGGTGAGGTGCCGACCCTTGTGCGTAAATATTCGGCAGGTAGCGGAGAGACGCGCCTAGAGGCCTGCTCGTCGTCCTCAACGGCGGCCCGCTTCTCCTCTTATTTTTCCCCTCCTTCGTCTCGTCTACTTAACGAGCTGCTTCGCCTCTTTCACCTCGTTTCTCCCTTCTGTGTCCGCAGCCAGAGAGGACGGCGGGTAGGAAGAGAAGAAAACGAGGTCGAAAGCTGGTGTACTGAGACACCACTACCACCATTCATCTACCCATTACACACATATTTACTAGGAAAAAATACGACAAACGAATACACCACTCTGTACGACGCATTCTCTCCATCTTCACATACGTCCGAACTAACCAAAACGCGCGTCCAGCCAACTCACCATGGTCCATACCCAACCAACCAAACCATCCAGCAAAGCTCTCGGGAAACGTCCCATGCGAAACGGCGTCATCGCACCCAGTCCACTCTCCCTCTTCACTCCCAGCGCTGCCAACTCACCCGCTGCTGACGAGGAAACCGATGACCCTTCTACTTCCACTTCGGTCGCGGCGGCGGTTGATGGTACGGGTGCGGGACCGTCAGGAGTAGGCACCAGCACTAGAAACAACCACAAACGCGTATTACCTTCGCGTGTCCGACGTGGAGGTGTTTACTCCCTCGTTGGGACGAGTGATACGGATCAGAATATATTGGATATGTTGAGGAGGAGAGGTGCGTGTTACTACTCTCTTATACAATCTATTCTATGGCAAGAAGTGTATCTAACTTTGGATTTCTACCCAAATTCATTCATTCCTCTTGCACCACACAACGTACATTGTACTTACTGTAGGCGAAAACGAACCCCTCATCCCAACACATACCGTATTCATCCTCACAACGGACTCAAGCCAAGTACCCTCAGCTTCAACAAGCGAAATCGGGTTGAACAAGCTCGCTAACGAACGGTACTTCGAACGTCCAGAAGTTATACGTGCTTACAAGAACCAACAAGATATCCAAGTCCCCGAGTTTACACAGATTGACGAAGAGACGGTTGGAGGAAGGTTGCGTGCGAGGACTGAGGAGGTACGTCCCCTTCCACTCTCTTACCATTACACATACGTAGAAATCTGTTTTGTTTTGAAACTTAAAGTTATTTATTTTGATAGGAACCACCCGAACTAACAGACGCAGCCTACGAAAAACGACATCGGAAATACGAAATGATCGAAAAGCGGCAACGACTGCGCGAGAAGGAGAAACTACAACACGAGCATTATAAACTAAAAGAACGAATAGAACAACTGCGGACTATGGATTATAATGCTTTCCTCACGCTCCCGGACGAACTTTTCGCGGAGGTGGAGAACGAGGGCGCGATGGGTCTGGACTACGCGGATGGTGCGCCTGAACCTAATACTGGGGGTAGTAGTACCGGTGGCGGTGGTACTGGTACTGGTAGCGCAGCGTCGCTTCTTCAAGAAGCTGAGCGCAGGAGGAAGTTGATCCTTGACGTAGCTGCGTCCCTAGAAGAGCGTTATCGGATCCTGTTACCTACAGAGAGGAGACCTGCGGAACAACTAAGATTCGTCACACGAGTATCTTCAATCGAACCTAGTATCCCTGATGAGAACGTCGATACAATTCCGACGACAGCAGAAGCCGAACGTGATCTTTCCGCTGCTGCTGCGAGTAGTACTGTTACTAGTCGATCGAAGTCATTGAAGTTGAAATTGCGGGCACAGCAGACTGCGCAGCCTACACCACCTCCTACCGCGGCGTCAGAGCCTGTACGAAAGCGGAGAGAGACCCCTCTGCGCAGTGACTATTCGCCAGCTCCTGCGGAGATAGAACCGCTGGAAGGCTCTACTGGTGCTGCTCCCTCTCGTCTAATGTCTCGTCAAAGGAGATCTAAAGTGGAAGAACGATCAACCCAGCAACTCACACCTCCTACATCCAATGGACAGGAGCAACGCGCAGTGGATATCGTACCCGATTCTTTGTCGCCTCCAAGTCGCACCCCTGATATCACAATGGACGAAGTAACCCAAGAATCACAGAAGTATCGACCAGGAGGCGCAGCCACACTTACTGTGCATCACGAAGGGGGCCTTCCTACTTCTATAACCAAGGAGTCACCTCCTCCAGTAACTTCGAATAGCAAGAGACGCCGACGCGCGATGGACCAAGTACAGGTGAATCGGAACTTCAACGTGATACAATATAAAGTTCCGCAGGAGCAAGAACCGTCGCGGAAGAAGTCAAAGACTTTTCGTTCTGAATATGATATTCCTCCTAGCACTCAAGCAACGCAGCAAGACTCTGATACTCAGAAGCGTTTAACAACTGGAATCGACTACCCCATTCCCACATCGAAAGACACTCGACATACCAAACAACACTCTACTACGAAATCTCATCTTCCTCCCACCGACTCCACCGAGCCAGAGACATTCGTAGAAGCATTCGGGAGGTTTTTAAGCTTATCGACCAAGGACATGGCCGCGTACCTAGTAGATCACCCTCGCTCAATCCCATACGCCCAATTGCGGCAACTCGAAAAACCAGATCAAGGCGGTGAATTTGACGTCGACGCGGACGTGAACGTTAATGTTATTGACCTGGAGCAGCCCGACGTGGACGAAACGCCGACAGCCGACGAACCCGTTACTCCGCCACCCGAATCTGTCGGTGTACCTACTTCAAGAAGTCCCGAGCTTCTCCTTGTGAATTCGAATTCGAAACAACGGCGTTCCAGGTACTGGACACCGAGTGTCGACGTTGATGATGATGATGATGGTGATGATGGTGATGATGGTGTTAGTGGTGTGAGTAAGGCGGGTCACCAGAAACGGCGGTCGAGAACACCTCTCGCTGCAAACGCTAACGCTAATCTTCGATTCGGGTCTACATACTCACACTCACAATCCACTCCCGACCGCCATCCGCATCCATCCTCACCACCACTCACCATAACCTCCCTCCAAAGCTACGAACTCAACTCACCCGACGGAGGAGGAGGAGGAGGAGGAGGAGGAGGAGGAGGAGGAGGAGGAAGTGGAACAGGAAACCCACGCAAACGTCCTACGAAACCCGTCAATGCGCTTCTAGCGTCATCCCGACATAACGAAGAACCAGGAAGGAGGACAGGAAGGAGTGTGAAGGCTTTTGGGGTTGAGGTGCCGAGTTTTGAGGGGGAGGAGGAGTTTGACTTGCCGAGGTGGATGGTTAGGGAGGTTTTGAATGAGAGGAGGTGGAGAGGTGTTGGAGGGGGAGATATTGGTGAGGAGGAAGATGGTGTTTATGAGGATGAAGATTTGAACTCTGATGCGGATGGGGAGGCAGAGACTGTGAGCGATGGCGACCCGCCTTCGTTTGCTGTTGGGATGGTGCATGGTGAAGCCTTGCATGGCTCGTTTGTGGATAGTGTTAGTGCTGTGGGCCGTTCGAGAGCAAGCCGCCGATGATTGGTAGAATCGACTGCACAACGCTGTTACGTTTTTTTAAAATAACTGAATACGTCCCTTTGCTAATGCTATAGCATCACGACCCTCAACCAGTTTTCTCTTTCAGAGATCATTGCAATCTTCTGCTTTCTGTCTTTACATCTTGCTTCAACCTTACATACATTCATACATACATACATTTGATGCAACCTTTGGTCAATCGAAACCAATCCTGTGTACAAACTTCGATGTTTAGGCTTCTGTTTGTACATGTACTTGGTGCTGAATGCTTTGTATTCTTATAAGAACTTCTTATTCTCACTGTCTATATTCCATGTAATGGCAATCAAATGACAGGCATGCAACTTTAACCAATGTACTTGTGTGTCTTATTGGTATTTCGATGTGCTTGGATATTGGTGCAGCGTGAATGGTGTGTAAAAATTAAGACAGAGGTCCCCGAAGTAACATTAAACGATTTTAACCAACCAACAAAGTAAAGTCAAGCAATGGTGCTAGACACTTTCGCAGCACCAGCAGCCGGACCAACCATCTTCTGCACAATAGCCAAGGCATCCCTCCTCTGCTGTACATCCATCTGCCTCACACGACTCAACGCCAACTCCGCATTATCTACAACGCCCAATACGTTCCTCAACGGGTCAGCAGCACATTTCGGTGGTGCCCGGTCCAAATAAGACACAGTTTGAAAAACTTTTGCATTTCCGGATTTCCCGGGAGGTGTCGGAAGTGGCTTGAATTTCGGTAATTGGGGAGGTATGACGGGGCTTAGTTGGGCGTGGTCTCCTTTGAGGATTAGTAGACCTTGGGCGTCGTAGTGTCGGATTGGTGGTGGGTTACGACCTTCGGCGTTAGGGTAGTCGTTCAGCTCTGGGTCGGTGCTACGTTTGCTACGGCCATAGTCCCGTCGCGTCCTGTCATTTGGACGTCCCTGTGTCCTCTTACGTGGAGAAGAGGTTTTCGCTGAACCACGTTGACCTTGTCTTTGACTTTGCCCGCGACCATCTCCTTGTCCCTGGCCACGGCCATCCATCCGAGCCTTCCAATCTCCTTGACGCGCTTGTGAAGAAGAGTTCCCCTGACCAGGAGACCGTGGTTTTCCTCCCCGACCTACTTGCGCAGCCTTCCCCTGCCTATCATCACTTCCTCCGTCATTCCTTCTACTTCTCGTAGCACCAGCCCCCTCATTGGAGTTACGGAACGGCCTCCTCTGCTGGTCTGATGACGCCCTCGACCTGTATTCTCCCCTTTGCTGCCCCTTCTTTTCAGACGGTGCGTCCGGCTTTTTAGAGTCTGGAGGAGCGCTACGAGCAGTTTTGGCTTGCTCAGAACGCCGAGCGGCAAGTCTTTCCAATAGCGAAAGTCGTCGTGCAGGTCCTTGAGCTAATAGCGTAAATTTTGAGAAAATCCTATAAATTAACCATGTCAATGGGAGAAAAAAATATTATGCGAACCTGTCTTGTTAATGCTGATTCCACCCAATTCAGTCGCCAACGGAACACCTTTCTGGCGTTCAGACTCGGCGCCTGAATCAGTTTTGCTTTCCTCGAGACATATGGGCGAACTGGAGATAGTCCGTCGAGAGATAGAGTGCAGACGTAGGCTTGATTGTCGCCCAATAGCTCTAATAGACTGCAGAGAAAGCGGTCTCATTTTTCGTCAAGAAGCGTCAAGGACAACCAGGTCAGCCAGATTCGGTTCGGAGAAGAGAAATTCATTTGATTACATCATCATCGGAATCAATTATTTCGTATTTCAAGAATCTTTGTACTACAAATTATTTCTATGCGAATGAAGGGTTGCATTACATATCGATATCGTAGTAAGATTACCACATAACTCTACAAGAAACCTTCTAGCATGAATCTACATCTTGACCTTCTTGTTTACCCTGCGAACACGAGGATAAATTCCCGCATCATATTCAACCGTGTAATTTCTAGGTTCATCCTTGATACAAAGAGTTCTACACACTCGTCAGTTAGTAAACTTCCTGAATGCAAGGAAGTTGAATCTTTTACAAATCTAGAAGTACCCGAATAAGCAAAGACCATACCAGCGCTAATAGTCAAACACTCACAGGTTGTTCCAATTCCCATAATATAAGCGCCGACAGTCTATACAAAAAAATAAGCGCCAGTAAGGATGTATTCAGGAAAAAATAAGAGAAGAGCGCTCACAGTGAACAGGTGCCACCATGCATGCCCTTTGAACAACAAATTTTTTAGTCAATTCCGCGAGGTTGGCGCCGCAAGAGAAAGCAAAGAAAAAGGCACACGACTTACCTTCAAGTAGGAAAGCCATAGGCCATCCCACTAGTGCCTTCCATTTGGACAAAGCATTGCAGAACACGTTATCTAGGTTCCAGATAGCAAACCCGAGGATGAAGATCAATGCACCAGAAGTGTATAAACTCGTGATCGTCCTTTTCTCGTTAAGACCGATTCGGTTTGACGCTTCGGCGGATCTAACGAGCCAGGAGCCGCGAAGGGTATTCGCGATCATGAAAGCTGCGAAAACCACCTGATGGTAGATTGGATTACGGTATAGCCAACTGCAAAACGCATATTAGCTATCGCCGAATACTGAGATCGAGTGGCACTTGGCACTTACTAAGAATAAGTAAATAAAATATCAAACAGCACAGTAAAAATAAGCAACAGCTGCGACTTTTTGCTACTGATTCCCCAGCCAGGGGATGTGTCATAGAGTATGAATAATGAGCAAGAAGCAGTATAAATCATCGGTAGCTCGTCGGACAACTGCGCAGAGTGTAGCAGAGTTGCATGGAATGCAAAACTACCAAGGCCGACTATGGCGAGAGACTGTCATATCAAAACAGTGAACAGGGGAAAGCGAGTAGAGGAAAGCGATAAGCAGACCATGAAGCCAAAGAAGTAGCGCGCAGGAAGCGCCTGAGTTTGAACTATGCGGGCGGCTTGCAGGGCAATCGCGACCGTAATGATATTAGAAAGCGTATTCGCCATTTCCGCAATATAATCCGAGAACTGGTAATTGGCCTTTCAAAGTATACATCGAGTCAAGATTAGTTAAAATTTCCCTGTATCTCCTGGTCTCCTTTCCAGGAGGAGCCGAGTAGAGGAGGCATAATGAACACACCTCGCAGAAATCTAGCGTAGAAGTCACGGTACCCCAAGCGCCCGTGCGACTAAAGTTGTAGGCATCACTAACTGGAAAGCTCATCGCCGAGTTTTTTGCGAGCCTGAGAGTCCTCGGTTGTAAAGAGTGGAGGCGGTAAACGATATATCACAAGAAGTGGTGGCCCGCTATGAATGGAATCCCGGCGCTCCCTGGCAAGTTCCGACCGCCCTGAGTTCGGCCGTAAATAGCTCACTGCGCTCTTGTGCTGAACAGGAAAGACGACTGAAAGATTCTAGGGTCAAGTCGGTAAAATACAAGAGAGAAAACTTCACAGCAGGGGTTGTGTCGGACAGTGTCATTAGGCGAGTGTCAAACAAGAACAAGTAATAAAATGTAGATAATTTTGGATGAGTCAATGACCTCATCATCGGCAGGCACAAACATGGACCCACAACAAAGAACCAAGAGGGAGATTAGTGTAATAAATCATGTCTAAGCTAAGGTACATGGGTAATCTACATTGCCTACAGCATGAACTAATCCAGTCGCAAATCCACTGACGAAAATTAATCTCTCGAAGCTTCAGCCACACGAAATGCTATCCGAAATGAAAATTAAATGCAATTCAATGCATTAAGTCCTCGCTTCACGCGCCCCCGACACCGTACTTTCTCAGCACTCCCCTCCAATCACCGACATCCTCCTTTCCCATGGCGACGACCGTAGCAGGTTTCGCCGCATCGGCACCGAAAACGCGATGTGCGACGCGCCGTATGTCGTCTGGTGTCATCTCGTCAATGCGGTCGCACATTTCCGACACAGGAACTTTGCGGTTGTGTACAAGGATCTGATTTACAATATCGGTGAGGGGCGGACGTGGGATTACAAGGACAAGGAAAACAGTTAGCGGGTAAATTCTGAAATCACGGCACATAAAAACGTTGCCTTACCTGCCGACCCAAATCTTCTATTTCGACCGCCCGACTTTCTAAGGCCATCATGAGACTACTCTTGAGTTGATTCTTTGCCTTATTTAACTCCGCCTGACCAACCGGCACGTGTAGGAGTAAGCTAATCTGGTGCACGAGGTAGGGCATTATCTGGGCGGGTGTAGCACCTTGACGCGGGGAAGAAACGGGCAGGAAGCTTGCGAACAAGCCTATCAAAGATGAGTCTGTGTAAATGTGGTGATACGCCTCGCAATGGTCAATCTGGGGTTGGTGATTGAGAATATGCGTGTATAATCTCGAATACATTCCCTTGCCGGGGCCGCCGGCAGAGAATGAACCGCCACCTCCAAGCAGCATTTGCATTGTCGCTAATGCATAAATGTCAGGCGAGGCAATGCCAGGACCCTCCCACGCCAGGTAGATATGGTTGAATTCGGTTTCCGGCTGATGAATGAAATAATGTCCTCCCTTGTAATTTGATGTCGGCGGAGGTGGGGCTGGTCCTGAAGTGTCTGAAACAGTTTGAGGGTAAAGATACGACGCTGCTCGGGTAAAGGATTTGTATAATGAGGGGGAAGGGGGGTTTTGAAGAAGATGTGTAGGGGAATGGTTCTGGCGGGAAGCAGCAAATTGCTGCTGTGAAGGCTGAGACAGAAGGGTAGAGTCACTCTCACCCTTTAGGGAGGAGAAGAACTTGTCTGTCTGCTCTACTAACTCTTCGTGCGGCATTCCTGCTCCGGCGATGACTATTCGCTCAGGTCTGTACCATTTTGCCATAAAATCTCGCAGAGTATCCGCGTTAATTAAATCAATCCGTTCTTCTGGGCATAGAAGCGGATTGCCCAAACCTTTCCCCCCATAAGCGACTTGATGCAGTATCTCAGGAAGAATGAGTTCTGGTTTAGCGCTGATTTCACGAATTTCGTAACGAGTTGCGTCCCGCTGACCCTCAATCTCCTCCGGAAGAAAGGCGGGATTAAGCACGGTGTCGGCGATGACCGAAACGGCCAAAGGTGTTGCACTTTGGAAATGTATGGATTGATACATCATTGCCTCGCGCGATGAGGAACATTGAATTTGGCCGCCGAGAGCATGAATTGCAGAAGACATATCGAGATCAGAACGTGCTCGAGTACTCTATGCGGAAAGTGAGCCGAACCCATCGCACGAAAATTCCCACCGGACTTACCTTGAAGGCCAATCTGTCGAGAAAATGGCTTACGCCTGAGTTTTCTGGCGTTTCATAACGCGACCCAGCATCAACATAGAGACCAACTCCCGCGAAATGTCCAGGGGCGGCCTCAGTTGCTACCCGTAATTTATTTGGGAGGGTTGTGATTTGAACAGGAGGCGCAGACGGTGCCGACTGAGAGTGTAACGTCCGACGAGAACGTAGGGCCTGTCGTGCAGCCGAGGAAACCGCCTTGCGCATGGTCAGTGTGGTGTAGAGGATAGGTTTGTCTGTCTGACGCATGCGAATTTTGGGTCAGTAAAACCACGTGACTGGTTTCGGCAGGCTAATCTAAATGTTACAAAAAAATAAAATAATATAAATAAACTTTTTCAGGCCCACGCCACTAATCCTGCCTTCAATGCTTCACCGAGTCTTAACCTTCAAAGACAGAGAAAACTTTAACTTCCTTAGATCTGACCCGCCTAGATCTTGCTTTTCGCTTCCTTGCAATCTGTCGCGATGCTTGCTCATCTAGTAATACATTGAAGGAAGAAAGTAGAAACTACCGAGCATGGTCTAGTTTCTCTCTAGACCTCGGCCCTTTATGACCCCAAGTACTACCTCTGCTGGCAGCTTTTGTCCCCCTTGCCTGCATATTTACGTATGGCCGCTGGTACCCGGTTTCCTATCGGTCTACCGCGGGGTAACGTTGAAAGACACATTTGGTATACGCGAACCGTGTTCTTGCCGATATCATCCTTCTGCCCAAATTCGGACTGAGATAGCGAGACCCGATTGAATAGGCATCTTTCTCCGATCACCTAGGAAATAGTGACTCGTAAAATTCGGACTGGGAACTTTTTCTTTCCCTATATCGCTCTCGTTTCCCTACAACAGAACCAGCGCTGTTCGCTCTACGGGCGCTTCAGATCCAGCTCCTTTGAACGGGTTCTACGGTCTCTGTTTCGGAACTTACGGGCAGCCCGGACGTAAGTTTGCCGTTTAGAAGTCTACTGAAGCATCCCATTTTGCAACGCGGAAAACGATCGCCGAGCAAAATTTGAAGGTCAGACAACTCTTCTCATACGCCACCGATGGACTGGCTCGTGAGGCCGAAGTGGCCAGGGGTTAAGACGGACCATATATCACTATTAAACTTGATTCGCTCTTTTTGTTCATTTAATTACAAAGCCACGATCTCGGGAACAAGAAGCGCTCCATCCCCTCTTCTATACTTCGACAGGTGTCGCTCAACACTCGCGACGCTAACCTATGCCCGGGACTGTTGCAACTCCTTCTGGTGACGATATAGGCTGCGTTATTTTTCAAAGCGAGGATGTATATCATTGCCCACATTGCAAGCAAGTCATCCCCCTTCCTTCAGACCACAGAATCCAAAGCATCTACTCGGTAATTCAAACCCATCTAGAGAAGTGCATGCCCTCATCACTGTACGTGATCCTTCTAACTGATCTATCCTCATGACTGCAATCGATCCTAACAAAGTTTCTCGCGCGGTATTTCTTAGCCTTCCAGGCAATCTCTCTAGTCTTTTGCCTCTTCCTCAGAGATTTCCTCCTCTAGCCGAAGCGTGCATGCCACTACAGCCTAGACGCACGTGGTCCGCTGAGGACGAACGTCGCAGGCGCTTAGAGGAAGATCCAGATGCGTATGATGTGGGGCCGCACACTGTTACTTGTGCAGGATGCCATCGGCCCATTCGACTCAATGCTACTGGAAGGTATTATGCCGCTAATTGGAATAAACACAAGATGGGCTGCAAGAATACCAATGCAGCAAACGGTGCAAGTGCTGTATCGGCGGTATGTGTTGCAATTATGTAGCTACAATTTCGGGATTCATACGCGTACCATGTATAGGAATCAAAGTTCACTGGGCGTGTTGCCGCCTTCCGCGTCGCCAAGCCGGCAGAGTCCTCCGAACCCTTTACGATCCCAACGAAACTCAACACGTTGACGTCGCAGGAATCTAGACATCTTCCTGCACATGTTCTATACCCTTCATCACATCGGCTAGATGGTACAGAACGTACAGACTCATGGTCTGATCATTTCCCTGCTAAAGGCTTATCTTCGGTCGGGGAACACGGGACAGCATCGACCTCGTACCGCGGAGAACGCTCGGGGATGAGCAGACGGTCTGCCAACGATCATTCAACTGATGCGTCGGACAAGAGGGCTCCAATCGCACTCACTCACTCCGATACCCCTAAAGCACAGGTGGACAAGGTACCTGAATCACCTACGCTATCAGGGATGCGCAGGCAATTACGGAGTCCGACTGGACCGTTGTCCCGTGTGGAGGAACAAGAAGCATACGGGTCTATGCGTACCCCGTTAAGGGGTGAACGAGAGCGGTATGGCCAGAGTCCACATGCCATACAAGCAATCGGCCCTCAGCGGAAAGAACCGTCCCCTCTACATCATTCGGAAGATGCCTTTCGTCACGATACTCATCAGCCTCCGTTAGAAGCACCGCCCAAATTTCAGCGTGTGCTTGATAAGGGAAAGGACCATCACATCGAGCACACCTCACCGCACGTTCTTCAGCGAGCGATTGAACATAAACACCAATATTTGGCGGCTGAATTTCAACGAAGAGGCACGCCGATCGAGCATGTATATGCCATCAATCGCACAAGTAATATTGACTCAATTGCTAGCCAAGAGAGATCTTCTGGGCTTGGAAGGCAAGCTCACAGACCACGGGTTCTAGCAGAGCGAGGCTTCGTCTCGGACTTTGGTAGTGATTCTGCGGCTTCTTCACCAGAATTCAGTGCTTCACGGTTAGGCAGGTCATTGAGCAACACTACGTCAGCTTTCTCGGACTCCACATTACAAGCTTACAGCCGTCTGGATGACCGTGTTCTTCCTCCCCTCAGCTCATTGTCACTGACACACAGGGCCAACTCAAATTCTTCAGTAGCAACTCTTGAGAAGCCCACTCATCACAATTCCCAAAACGAAGAACGCCACAATAGCTCCAGCCTCGGCGCTAGTCTGGATCGCAGCCCGTTGTGGCGAGAGCGAACGCATGCATGGGTTCAAGCGGGATCGGCATGGTCGGGGTCAGACCGCGAGGCCCCGGAGTCCGTGGTCTTGCCACCTATCCGTGCCACGTTAGATTCACCGCCAAGCAATGCGCCGGGTACGAGACGGCGGCAGAGAGAAGCTGACGGCAGTGATGACAGCTCCATGGATGAAGATAGGCCATCTCCGCCGAAGGTGTTTGTCGTGCCCATGAATGCATCGCGCACGTCTTCCACGCCGCGAGCGGATGATTTGTCGTTGACTTACAAACCAAAACGCGTATCTTCGGACGAAGATGCAAATGTAGGCGGAGATTCAAACCGCAGCACTTTTGTGGGAAATCAATCCGAACGTGAGTTTCGGGCTCGTCTGTGATCGCGACTCATAACTTACGCTCAATATCAGGAAATGAGAGCATTGCAAAGGGTTCGCAAAACAATATCCCGAGGCTTCACCCTGTCTGGAAATGGGAGAGGTCCGAGGATGTACCGCGATCTCGTGGGTTAAACAGCGAAAACGACGTTCTGATGAGCTGAAGCTAGCGGGGCAGAACAGCCAACAACATACCCAGCGGCATAGACATAGGATGCATTTACTTTTTGGTGGCCTACCTATTTCAGATACCCAGAATGCTTCCTTTCCCAGTATCCCTTGTTCTTCGTGTATTTGCAACGCATGCTGCTGTTGAACATGACCACATTTATGCAATCACGTATTTATATATACAATCATCATGTTTGCAGATCTATTTCGACGGGCGTAATAAGATTTGTTAAGCTTTCTGATCGCCATTCCCATATCGGGACGTGCACTGTGGTGAATCTCCCGCGTCTTTCTTGTTCCTCAACTCAACTAACCACAACGTCGCGTCCTTTCCCTGCAACTTTATGCTACAATGGACGTACTCCCGACCGAGCTTTGCTTCAGAATACTCAGCGAACTTGACTACACAGAAGTTGGTGTGCGGGCTCTGGCACGCTGTGGAATGACAGGCAGCAGCACGTTGCGTGTTGCATCTATGGATTCTAAGCTCTGGAAGCCACACTACGAACATCGCTACACACACGCGGAAGCTGCAAAAGAGAACGATAGACGTAATATATTTGGAGAGGACTGGAGGAAGCTGTACCATTCACGTCGGCGACTAGACCATGAAGCTCTCAAGAACCTGCGAATCATCGAAGCTGTTTCGCCTGAGGCGCGGATTGAGCCTGCAAGGCGAATAGCACACCTTGGACTCGATATCTGGGATGTCTTATCCGACGAAGCAAGCCGACCATCTCCTCCCCTCTTTCAGACAGAAGACGATATTGAGAAGGTGAAGAATGGTTCTCCACTCACCAATTTAACAAGGAAGTATTGGGCGGCCGAGCTTAAAAAGATCATCGCTAGACGGACTGCTATAGACAGTTGGACTAGTCTGAGCCAGTCTCGCGCGGATGAGGAAATAAATCCTCTTCCGTTCGAGGAAGCATTCGCGACGCTGTCTTGTTTCCACGGCGTCCTTCCAGACGAAGTAAGTTCCACATACATTCACTATTCGAAATCCCACCTTAGTGTATCTTTTCAATCGCACGCGGCAGATTATGAACCTTGTCAATAGAGAAATAGACGGATGCAAAAGATACCTTGAAACAGAGAATATATGCTGCGATCCGGGAGCTGAAGAATTTGTTACGTCACGGTTATGCACGACTGTGTGTGAATACATGCGCGCCCAAGGCTTTGACAAGACCGAAGGTAAGTGCCGTTAACTCTCATGTGAGCAGAATGTAATTCATATGCCGGCAGCTAATCGGTTTTACGACGTCCGCAATAGTCTACCACACCTTTTCCTGACATCCTTCCGTCACTGCTTGCCGATATCGTTGGTCTTTATCTTTGTCGCTATCGTGAAAAGTCTTGGGGTGAAAGCTTCGGCCCTGAACACCCCTAACGTCGTGATAGCACTCGTCCATGATAGACTTGTGGACGTATGCGGGCAAGCCTTCGCAGAGTCCATTGCTACAAGATCATATCAAGACGTCGAGCAAATATTCTCAGAGCATTTTCAAAGGACTATTACAAGCCAACTACTTTCGCGTGTCGCACGCAATATCGAGGTAGCAGCGGACCAGGAACTCCTTAGGGAGGTGAATGATAGACACGACCTCTATCAAGATGACAACTTCTACACATTGCTTCAAGCGCGTTACATGGCGCATTGTCTAACAGCGCTAACACAGCCCATGCCGGATAAAGCAAATGAACAACGCATCTTTTCAATAATCGCATCAAAGTTCTTCCCTCTAGATATGGACCTCGTTGTACTTGATAAAGTTTTGACTCACTGGGACCGTCCCAGTCGCCTGGTAATCATGCAGTTTGGTGGCGAGTACTTTCTGGAAGACGATGACAACCGAAACCTCTATAAACTTGAATCGCGCGGCGTACTGCGGAATCTGTTTTCCGCTGATTTGTTTGTCGGACAAATCGTTTCTGCTAGAAACTTCACCCTGCGCGCAGTAATCGGATGGAAGGTACGAGTTTTTCCGTTTCATACGCGGAACTCGGGGGGCGGACGTCTAATCCAACTTATGAACTTGACTATATTTACCAGACAACTGATGAAGGGATAGTTTGCTCGACCATCTCATATTACCACAACTACGTCAAGGGTGAGTTCCCCGTTCCCGTTCTCTAATCTGATTGCTTGGCCAACGACGAGTCATTTGTTGTCAAACAGATTACCCCATAGACCTAATGACGCCCACAATATGCACTGTCCAAGATCTCCGAACATTCCTTCGCAACCCGATTCTCGGACAGTATTTCGAGGATGCGGAATTTTGCGCGTTGAATTTGAGTACGGGGAGGGGACGGGGACGATTCATTATGAATAAGTACCTGAGGAATCTGTATCCGGAGGACGAGGAGATTGGGGCACGATGGATTAGAAGTGGCTGACCCACGGTGGTGTGCGGTAGCATGAGACGATCTAGTGATGAATTGATGAATTTATGTAGTTTCTTGTATTTTTTGCACGATTATCACGGAACATAGATGTACGATTTGAGATACATGCTGTGGCAGCATACCCTCTTCTACGAGTACGCAGGACAAATATTACATACAAGTCAAACAACTCTATCTACCTACAGGAAACAAAGCTTACGGAGTACTACTCGACCCAGCATCGATCATCTCATAAATCCACGACATAAGCGCAGGGTCCTTGATATGTACGCTCTCCATCAAGTGCCTAATACCAAGGAATGCTCGTCTTCCTCTCCTTTCACCTTCTCTATCCGACTCACTCTGTTCACCATTAGCAGTAGCAATAGCGACGTCCTGTTCGTCAACTTCCTCAACCACACCAGGAAACCCAAAATGGTCTGCATCGACACGGGGAGCCACTTCTGATGAGGCGAACGACGCGCGGAAGAGGGTTCGGAGGATGAGTAAGGCAGTGAGCGCCCCTGTAGGTGGGTCACGCGCTGGTGATGGGTAGGCGACGACTGTCTTTGGTTCGGGTGGGGTTGGACGCTGCGTTGCGTCTGGCATTGGGAATTGTTCTGAGGCAGATGAAAGCGTTATTCGCGGAAGCTTCTCTGGGTCGGTCTCTATCGAATTGAGTGGGACGTGTGTCCATACGTGAGGGATGAGTGTAGAGAGTGAAGTCGTCGAGAACTGGCACGTCGACCATTTACACGAGTAGGAGTCGTTGGTGGCAGGGGTAGAATCTCCGTCTTCCCCTACCATCTTTTCCTCCACTCCCTCCGGGTGTAACGTCTCGAAATGCGTCTTAACATGACTCCGCAACGCAGCAGGAGTCTCAAACGGCCCAGCCTGGCACTGTGACCGATCCCAATGACATACAAGCTGCTCAACGACAACCTGCTTCGTACGTTTACTTATTCCACGAATGATGAACTTCTGCGTGGGTACTTGAAGTACCATAGCTTGGGCAGTTGGGTAGACGAGACTGGCATTTTTGATGACATCCGACGCGGGTAATAGTGCTTGGCGATCTTGGAAACGAGTAAATGAGTCTTTGTAGGCGTTCCAGAACTCGACTTGCGTGAGTTCTTCGTTGGGGTTAAGTCTGATAGCAGTCCGTAGCCTGTAAACGATAAAATAAGATCATGACATAAATTGGAAAATACGAAACACTCACCATTCAAAACACCTTTCAGGTTCCGAAAGTACTCCAATTCGCTGTAACTCCTCTTCAGATAGGTCATCAATAACAGATTCAACCTTTACAGAGGGCACCGAATGACTCGGAGCACTAATGTCAAGCGTCGCAGTTTCCTTATCCTGCTGAGAGACCATATACCCCACGAGGGCTTTAAGCACTCCTGGCATATCCGGGTGCAACAAGAATGCCTTCGTCATCGGCGGATACGACAAGTGTGCATAAAAGAAGTTAAGGCAGGCATCCACGAGCGCCGTGTCCTGATAAAGTGGAAGATACCGAATACACGCTGTCAACGCGGGTGAAGATTCATTCGTATGTGATACGTTGTGCGGGATGCCGAAGAGTGCAGTAAGCGCGGACAAGGCGCTTATGATTATCGCTCTGTTACTCGACTCTCCTGCAAGTTTCTCCAGAGCTGGAACAGGATTCGGAGCAGTGGTGTTTCCCTTTGCCGGCGGTAACACATAGGTTCCTGCTAGACAATGTAACAGCTCGAGAGTATATAGTACGAACTGAGTGTTTTCGTCCGTATCCAAATCGAGTTCATACAGCGCACGAATGATCAACGGGCGAGTCTTCGAGTGTGCAGAAAGTTCCGACGCATTTTGACTTCCAAGGGCCGCGTTACGAAGGATGAAAAGCGACTCTAGCGCATATCGACGATGTCTCTCTTCCGTCGAAGTGGGCGCGAACAACGACGCTGCAGCTGCGTTAACTCGCTTTGTGCCCTTCAAACCACTGTCTTGTGTTGATGATGATAGGGTAGAAGGAAGCCCGTATTCCCTAAGAAACCACTCCGGCCACTCAAACAACGCATCAACAAGTCCAGGTATAGACGAAAGTTGAAACTGATCATTACAACTCAACCGACAAAGCCGTTCAAGTGCCCATGTAACCTCCGAGTCAAGACCAGATCTTAAGGAGAGTAACATCCTGTTCATCGGTGTTGGCTCTGCATACCATCCTGTCAGAGTATAACAGCCATACACCTCATTATTAGCATCACAACTTCCAATAACAAAAGCAGAAAGGAAAAAAAGAGACAGGGGAAACTACTCACGTTCATAATCATCCCTCAAAGGCTGCGCCGCACGCGGTACGTACGCACCAGCATACGCCGCTGCCATCTGCTGCTGCTGCTGAACGCCCGCATATTGGTACTGTTGAGAAGTCGACGCATAGCCGCCCGTGGCACCCGTCGGCAAAGGCGTCGGCGTAGCCTTGTACGCCATCTGTACTCCTCCTCGAGTATACCCGCTCATTTTTGTTGAAAGGTGGATATCGTGGACGTAAGCAATGTTGAATTAAATTTCAAAAGAACGCGTTACTTGAAATTGAATCACGACGCGTCTTCTTTGTTTGTCCTTATTGACTAGTATTATTGCCGTGTTCGGAAAGTCCAATTCCTATTCATTGAACTGTACCACTTGCTATTTTTCTCTTATTTATAACAAGTTATATGATTTATCGAAATTGTGGGGTTCAAAACAAACAACAAAGTAGAATAATATAACATCAGAAACGCAAAAGTGCCTCCTGTATTTTACTATTTACAATCTACCAGCTCTACTCACAACCACACAGTAGCTCAAGAAGTTAGCATAGTGCATAACGAATAAATTACTTCAAGAAAAAGTGAGGTGACACTGACACTGACACTAACAAACAAAAACGAACGAACGAAAGCACCAGCAGGCTATTCGAAAACGAAATACAATACAAAACACAAACGAGGGAGGTTTCTCTGTATCTGTACTTCTGTATTTGCAGGAAAAAAGGGTGAGGGGTGGAAGATAGGTGGAAGGATGGAGGGTATGCGTTGGCGTTGGTGTTGAGGTTATGATGCTGTAAATACAGGAAGGGAAAAGAGTTCATCATCACATGTCATCTCATGACAAAGACAAAGACAAAGACAAAGACAGGATTGGGAGTTGATAATTAAAGAAAAGAAAAAAACGAACAAGCAAGCAAACAAGTAATCGTCTTTTGCATCCATCTAGATGCTCCGAAGCGTACGAAGGGGTCGAAATCAAACTCGAACATCATCATCGCATCCCACTCTTCGAGTTCCAATCCGGTACGTGCACAGAATGCACAGCGTTCGATTCATAACCCGGTGGACTATCGTCATACGATCCCTCATGCGTCTGCCCCAACCCCTGTCCTTGGGGACTCCTCGTCCTCCCTACACCCACCGCTCCAAGCCCGGTAGAAGCAGTAGGCATAGGAGGCGGCGAAGTCGACACCACCGGTGCTCCATACGCAGTCGGCGAAGTAGACTCTTCAGGTACGGTGTTCACACCATACCCCCCTCCTCCAAGTGTATAACTCCTATCTTGTGTGTGTTGGCTTTGTTGGTGGTAGGGAGATTGGTAGGAGCTCCCCACTGCCGCTGCCGTAGTTGCAGCTGCAGCTCCAACGTTCCCGTACGCATTACTCGAGGAGTTGTATGGGTCACTCGTCCCATACGCCGCAGAATTATAAGCATTCGACGAGTAATCGCCATATGCAGTCGCTGTTGTCTGAGGTAGTGGCGGAGTCGAACTATGGTAGTACGGGTCTGCGTATGGTTGGGAAGGTTGACGAGGGGGTGGAGATGTGCTGTGTCCGTATGCACCAACAGTAGCTTGATTATTATAGGCGTCGGTGCTATACGCAGTTGCTTGTTGAGGGTGTGAATACGCGTCGTACTGTGAGTAGGCTGAAGGGTATTGTTGGTGTTGTGAAGAAGCTGCTGTATGATCTACAAAACCAAAAAAAGGAAAAAAAAAGGAAGATATATTAGACCAAAGAAATTAAGAATAAGTGAAAGCACGAGGTAAGGTAACGCACATGTAGTTCCACTATTCGTATGCCCATACGCCGCTGCACTCGGATGGCGTCCGTGTGCATTCTGGTTGTCAGCGGCGAGGTATCCCGCTGTGGCACCAGCAGCTACTCCAGCAGCCGCAGCACCAGGCGCTGCGGAGTGATACACCGACTGCGGATTGCTCGATGCACCAGAGTACCTTCTCGTCGGTGGGTATCCCGTGCTTCCGGCAGCACTCGAGCGTGTAGGCGACGACGGCGTATAGTACTCATCGACAGCGCGCGTACCAGGTGCAGCTTGAGCGTACCCGCCCCTATACCCTTGTCCAGCCGTACTCGCACTACCTTGCCTTCTCGCACCCATCGGACGTCCAACAGCAGCTGCAGTAGTCGTCTGGTCACGATAAGGAGAAGCCATATCATCTTCAGACCCATCGTCCATCTGTTTGAGTGGACGTACAACGTCCGCATGTTCCGGGAACGCCGGGAGCCCAATCTCGTTCTTCTGTCTTGCCTTCCTGTCAGCCTCAGCTTTCACAGCATCCAGACGCATCTGCTCTGCATGGTCCGCAGTAGGGTTGTTCGCAGCAAATCGTCCCATCCACGAATTGTCCATGCGCCCATCTGATCCCCTTGGCCTCCGTCGCACACAACACCTCCCACAAGCATACACACATCCACTAAAGAACAAGAGTATCCACGCAGCCAAAGTCAACCAAACCGCACTCCCAAAAGTCGCAGTTCCATCAAGACTCTTCACACGCGCTTTCACGATGAAGAACAACACCAAATCAAAGATGAACGCAACAAGCGCGATGACAGCTGCAAACCCGCTAATACAACTCGAGCAACACGTCATACTCATCTCACGTACATGTGCCAGCAACCCAAAGAATGCTGAGATGGCTGCTGCACAGAGAGCGATGACGTGCAAGAAAAGCGCGTAGGTGATCCACTTGACGACGACAGTCGGGATTTGTGCGAACTTGATGTTGTCGCCCAACAACGCATTCGCGTCGAATGCATACCCGACACTGGGCTTCGAACAGGTCGTACCATTCGTTGCAAGGTCTATACAATAACCCAAAGTGCCAAGTGAGATCGTGCCGTTGACGTTGTCAACTGTGAGTGAAGCCTGGAGAAAGGAGACGGATTTGATGATGGGGACGTTAAAGGAGACGATGGCGAGGAGGATCGTTGCGATGAGGGTGACGATGAAGCCGGGCGTCGCTGGACGGAATATCATGGTGGCGACGTCGGCGGGGTCAGATAGTGAATGAATGAAAGAAGAGAGAAGGATGGTGGACAGTTAAGATGTGCAAAGTTGCGATGTGCTGTGCCGCCAGAGCCTGAGAATCCAAGAATGGCAGTGCGCTTCTGCAGCGCCTCGCTATCCGAAACACTCCTTAGTCGACTTCACCACAAGATTACAGCAGACACTCTTAATTACTAACCAAATATACCACACTAATAACTGCAGTCCGGATGGAAATAACACAGGATTACATACATATGAATACTTGTGTCAGATTGTCACTTATTAATTAACGAATCCAACCGTCGATGCAGTGTTAGTGTCGGTGATTTCAGATAACATGTGCAAACAAACAAGCAACCAAAAGTCCCAAAAAAATACAAATCATAAAATAAAATAAAGACATTATTTGTTGGTGAGGTGAGAATTGTTAAAATTGCGAAGTAAACACCTATGCAATCAGCCGTAGTCCTGAAAACAGTGTGAGCAAGAAAAGCAATGGCCCGATGACCGTGTGAGCACAACAACACAAATCCCACTTCACACTCATATACCGTCGTCGTCCTCGCCTACGCCGCAAGATATAAAAACCAAGCGAAAAAAGTCGATAAAACAAATGACTTCTTTCCTCTTGTCCCCTCCCAACTTTCTTCCTCGGTTCGTATCAATTCGAAGTTAATACTGCAGAAGAATACGAAACGTAGCGCCGCGCGCATTGTTCCGCATCTACTACTTCCGGCATAGTTAGTCCCCGAAGCACTCCAGTCATGATTAGTATCGAGTAGATAGGTTCGTCGTCCTGCGCTCTTCTTTTCCTCTCGTTTTCAACCCCCAACCACCACCTCGCTGTCAGCTCGTTTCCAGATTTTGCTCCAGCAAAATCCCTGGCCGATCAAGGAGAAAATTGAGTTTTCTAATTTGCAAACCGTCCCCATGGAACTTCTCGTGCAAAACCGCCACTCCAGTCTTCGACCCGTCGTTGTGCGATAAGCGACATGGTACTACGAGCGGTGCCAACGAAGCCAGCACCAAGAGATTGTACAACAGCGTCGATGAAAACCGGATACCTGGGGTAGGAAAGGAACGTAAGTATCAACAACGTGGATCGAGCAATTTAAACGAGACGAGGAGGCAAACGCCGATCACATGGGAAGACGAAAGGTAGAAGGAAAAGAAACATACCACTTCCCAAAGTTTTCCTCCGTCTTGAACTCCTCATGGTCAATCCACTGCCATCCCATCTCACGCACACCAGCCCACCATTCCGGATCACGCTCATCGCTAGTCACAAGCACCTTCTCCACCTCAATTCCCTTCTTCTCTCTCAACTCCGCGCGCACTTCCTCAACACGGTCATTAATCGCACTAAGCGGTGCAAAACACCCATCCTTATTCTCCTCATCTTGGCAATACCGGCCAAAATCACCGTGTCTCACATGCATCGAAATGAAAGGCGGTATCTCTTCATCAGGTCCCGTGCCGAATGTTTGACGGATCATATCTAATGTGACCCTCTCCAAGCGCGGATTCCAGTGCGCGTGTGTGCCGACGAATCGCCACGCAGGGCTCCAATCGTAATTGAATTCGAACGGAGCTTCAGAGGAGACGTAATACGGGAAATCGAAACATGCGAATTGTTCATCTGGCAGGGCGGTGTGTCCGCTGCCCGGCGCGGGGAAGGGAGCGGAGGCAGGTAATCGTGCGCGTTCCCTGCCGTCCGGGAAGGTGAGCGTAGCAAGGGAGAAGAAGCGGCTGTGTGGGTCGTTTTGGTATTGAGGTCGGGGGAGTAGAATGGCGCTGCTAGGAATGGGTGTGTAGGAAACGTCCAGTTTGAGATTCCGCTCGAGCACGTTGTATCGCGGCTTCTTCTCTGCATCCGTCGAGGCAGTTGCCCAGATACTCCAGCACCCTAGTTCGTCAAGATTCTCTGACCCCGGGATCTTAATATCAGACCACTCGATGATGGGAACAGAGCTGGCGGCGGAGAGACGCGGCAGGTCTAACACCTCGCTAACGTTTACAAAACCGGCGGAGGAACCGAGATGTGAAGGCACGAAGGGAGGGAGGACGACGGTGCGATTGGTCAGGACACCCATGTAGATGAGGTTGAAATAGGTCATGACGTCGTTTGCTACAGACGGATGAGTACAAGGATACAAGACGGACAAAGAAAGGCGTACTCCAACCAGCGTTGATCCAGGATGTGATGTATTTGGTGTCATCACGAAGGTTGTCTAGGAGGAGGATGGAAACGCGGTGTTAGCACGCATACAGACGATGGACGGCGGGCTGCTCACCTCTGAAGCTATGCGTTGGGGCACCTCGCACCTGCGGAGGATACACGGGGAGATAGTCTACAGCGTCGTGTTCGGGAAACACTTCAGGTCTCGGCACGATGGAACTATCACTCTTGGATACATGGAGAACAGAGAATATTGCGAATACAAGGAGAAATACAAGGATGGCGGCAATGGCGAGCACGCGTGGTCGGCGTGCTAGGTTGCGAAATGGAGAGGACGAATGTCGTGCGTTGTGAGAATACTTTTCGACATAAGGGGGAGAAGGACTTCGTCGGCCGGGACGGCTGGAGTATATCTCGAGGTCGTCTGAGTCCATTGCCTCGTGGTCTGAGGCGGGATGTCGCTGGCTCTCGAGACTGTCTGTGCGTGGCGATGATGAACGCGTAAGGAAGGGCGCAGAGCTTGTGGGAGAGGAGGGAGAGTAAGCCATCGGTGGTAGGGAGGGCGACGACCCGAGGGTGACCGTGCAGGCGAGGTGAGCGGGTCAGTTTAGTCCTTGGTGTTCTGAATGGCACCGTGCATGGGCAGATTATAGGCGATCCGTATATGGAAGTAGCACAACACATCTCTTCCTTCCTTCCTTTCTTTGATTTCTTTTCGGCTTGTTTCTTCCGACTCTCTCTTCCCCTTGCGGCTCGGCCCGTCCCGGCTGTCTTGCACCGCATCAACCTTGTTTCAGCATCCGTGTGTCCTGTTTCGATTCCTGCCTGATTCTCCGCCGCTGATTCTCCTCTCTGGTTTCGGGCAGCGATACCGACACGCGCTATATACAACCTCATCCGTCTGCACCTATGCCTGCAGGGTCTCCTCTCCTTCCGCCTCTCTTTGCTTCCTCCTTCCAACCCCCGATACGACAGCCATGGCAGCTCCCAACCAGCAGCAACAGCAATCGTCGCCTGTCCAGGTAGCGGGCGTCGTCTCATTCTACATGGGCGCCGCGCTTGTCGTAAGTCCCTCATTCCATTGGCTTCGCTTGTCTTGAATTTCGCTTGTCCCGTGCTGACTAGTGTCTCTAGATGGTCTTCGTGTATGCAGCGCTCTCTTGGCATCGTATTATTTAAGTACTAATCGTCTCACCACTACAGTAACAAGGCGGTCCTCAATAGCTCACCCGAGCTACCGCTGCTCTTCCTCTTCATCCAGCTGCTCATTGCTGTAGTCCTACTGCATGTCTCCGCCACCCTCTCACACAAAGTCGAGATCCCGCGACTGGAGCTCGAGACAGCGAAGAAACTGACGCCAGTCGTCCTCGTCAACATCATTGGTCTCATATTCAACACACTCTGCCTGCGCGATGTTGAAGCCAGCTTCTTCCAGGTGCGCTCGCCACATTAATAGTACTTGCTCTTCCGCGTTATATGCTCAACTCGCTTGCAGATTGCTCGCGGAATGCAACTGCCCCTCACGATTCTCGTTTCCTCTATCAGCACACGCTCGCAGCCTACAACACGCGTCCTCGGTGCAGCTGGCATTGTCACCATTGGTTTCCTCCTTGGTGTCTCACCCGCATCCCTCTCATCGCTATCCTTCTCGCTAACTCCTGCTGTGCCCACTGTCGCAAACCCTGCTCTGCGAGGCAATCCACATGCTGCACCAGGCATTGTCTCACTCATCTACGGTGTCCTCAGCGCCCTCTTCATCGCATTCCATAGCGTGCTCATCAAGTCTTCCTTACCTCACTGTGGCGGATCAACGATCCAACTCGCATACTGGACTAACCTCGGCTCTGCACTCTTCCTTGTTCCCTTCGTACTTCTCAAGGGTGAAATCTTCAAAGTAATCGACCTCGCAATGGGTGGAGCCTCAAGTACTGGTGGAGAATGGAACATGAGCGTGTTCGTATGGGGTACGCTCGTCACTGGCATCTTTGGCTTCTTGCTCTGCGTTGCCGGATTGTTGAGCATCAAGGTCACGAGCCCCATTACACACATGTTTTCCAGCGTGAGTGTCTTTACACATTTTGCTTCAGTGCATCATTCGTTTTCGTTTTGTCTCGCTTTCGTATCGGATCTGCGGTTGTGTATCCGCATCCGCGGGAGGTCCTCCATTGAGTATGGATGCTCCCATGCACTCCCCATTAGTTCATGCCGCCTGGATCGCGTGCTTTCTGCCGCCTATGCCATTAATACCTTTTCGTGCGGTGGATGGCATCACCATCAATGGGCTATTTTTAGCTCGGCATTTCATTTCATTCATTCATTCATTCATCATATCTTATCCTATCCTTATCCCATCCCCGACTTCCCAACTTTGTTGCGCACTCCCCGGGCCGCGTGCAACGATCATACCATCGATCTAATGAAATTCGGGTCCCTGACGCTCGAGGCCCAGACTAAGATTTCGCGCATGAGTGCGGGATTTTTATTGTGAAAAGTAAACCGCTATCAGATGCGCTCGTCCCGCGACCTCGTTGCGTTGCCTTGTCTTGCCGTGCTTCGACGGGGTGCGTGCTGAGCCGTGGACGTTCTTCCATCGAGCATCTTTATCTTTGACTTCCCTATACGCCTTACGCCTTTTGATGTGTCCGCTCTCACCCGTTTACTTCGGGCACTTTATCCTGGATACACCCATTTGGCACCTGTGGTTTGTTTCTTGCCGTCTGACTTTGAAAAAAGTCATTTCTCGTTCATGCAACGAGGACCCCTCCTTTCTCCGCTTGAAGTTGTTGTATTTTAGAGTGCCACGTTTCCTCAACCTGCGACCTGGCCTTCGAATATGCCGGATCGCAGTGCAGTGCAGGGCGGTATCAGCATTGCACATGCTGGCTGGCGGAGTCTGTCCGCCTTCTGTGTACTTTCTCATCTTGGCGCTGTTCTTCCTTTGTCCTTGCCTTCCGTTTTTGATCGTTCCCGGCTTCGGCTAGTAAATGATATTTGAAACGACTGCTGACTTGATTTTCGTTACTTTTCTTCTCACTACAGGCCGCGCGATCCGTATTACAGACACTCCTCGGTGTTTGGTTGTTTGGTGATTTACTTAACGTGTACGTGATTTTCTTCCCTTCCATCTTTCCAAATTTCCGTTTCCTCGTTTCTTCACTTCGACATCTTATGCACATTGCACATTGCACATTGCAATTTGTTTTCGATCGGGTGTGCCGCCGTTTGAGGCCGTTGTGTTGCCTTATACGCGTGCCGTACCTCGTTCTCTTCCGTTTTGGGAGATGCGTACGTACATCGCATTGTTACTTCTAGCTTCTAGCGTGGGGGGCGTGGGGGATTCTCAGGGGCCGCCGCTACCTGCGTCCCGCTGGCTGCTTCTGCGGCGTAAATGACAGGAGATGAAAATATGACGGCCGCTGATCCTTCCATGACGCGCGAACTCTTCGATCGTGTTATGGCATGGAATCATGCGACGTCCATGTCATTTGTCAATTGGTCCTGTTGGCGGATTGAGTTGTTGGCCTGACGTTTCGATCGTTCATTCGTGCCTACCACTCAAGAAAGGGGCACGACAAATTTATTTTCTTCCCTTTCTATTATCTTCGAATTTGACTTTTTATTTTAAATCTGTCGTTTTACATTGTTTTTCCGCTTCGGCAAACATAATTAACCAACCTCTCATTCCTCAACAGAAACCGAGCATTATCAATCATCGTCATCCTCCTCGGAACGATGTTCTACACTTGGGCCAAACACTTCGAAGGCCTCCAACGTTCTCCTTCCTCAGGACCATCTGGCAACGAAGCTATAGGTATGAAAGCCCGGGATCTTGAGAACCAAAAGTGGAATCGAGCAGGAGGGAGACTGGAGACTGTTGCAGAGGATGAGAGTGAGAGTGATGAGGATGTGTTGTTTGATGTTGAGAAGCATGGGAGTCGAAGGGACTAGGGATCGAGAGATTGAGGAACTAGAAATGACTGTTTATTCTTGTCTCTTGAATGACGTTACGAAAAGAACTTAGTTTAGCTACTTAGCAATGCACCGAACTCCTCCATGTACTCTTGATTCTTGACAAGGACTCTCTCTCGCTCTCATTTTGTCGTCTTCACTCGTTATTTATTCGTCCTTCGGTCTACAAGATATCTTACTTCTTGTTTGTTTTTGTTTTTACCCTGTTCTTTGTTGTTACACTCTCAGTTGATTAAATTGTTGTCTATGCATACAGTAAAATAGATTGTGTTTCGTGTATTCCCTCCACAATCATAGGTATAAGAATAATCTACATTGACACCATAGACAGACGACTTATAGCCACTCTACTAACACTATCACGTCGAAACAAAACAGGTGCCTTAAACGTACAAGAATCGTTGGTTAGGGGACCTTAATGATGCATACAGTAACTTCCCAGCGGGTATTCATTTGACAGGGATAAGACGTGTCGTGCTGTCAGGATCTTTTGTTGTATTCAACGTTAAAGGCACAACATTATCACAGGGAATGAAATCAGTGTGAATTGGTGTCGAGTATGTAAATTATGCATTATCTGCAGATACAGCGTGTATTAATTTAATAATACTTCCGATCTTGACCGATCCAGTTCAGTAATCATCCATGTTTGTATTGTATTTGTTTTATAAGCAAGTCAGGGGCCAGAGCTCCCGAATTTCAATTTAACGTGTTTGTAGTAACGTCAAGTCTTAAGAACGAGGGGAAACACGTACAGTGCTACGCTAAATCAGGAAACCCACTACGGGGACATATCACCGAGCCTAATTGAAATAGGTGGGTCCATGACGCAATAGGTTCGCGGCACGCGCCGAGGAGCATGTCTACACTATTGCATTACTGTCGCAGTAATGCGTTCATGTTGCTCTAGTCTAGTGTGAGCGCTAACTAGATAGATAGCTATGTTAAGAAGACACGAGGTATTGAGAATCTGAGACACTAACCTTGCGGTGTGTTGAAGAGGATTCGGATTCGGAAGTGCTTCCGAGTGTGTATGTACAGTTCAGTATGATTATTGACAGTATTGAAGTTGTTATCTATGTGTGACGCAATAAATAGAAGATTCATAGAAATAGCCAATGTTAATTCTTGGTGCTTGGAATGGTAGTTAGTGCTACCCTTTTGGGCACTAGGTATCAAATATGCATGCATATATTCAAATATTATACGTCCACTCGATGTGAGTGGCTTGATTTTGCTATTCCTGTGATCTCCTACATCCTATAAATATCTACATACGTGTTATGCACTGATGTAGGTTTGTCATAAGACATCATAAGTCCATAATAAACTGGATTGATTTGCCTCACAGAGTGATAGGTGCTAACACTGGAAAAGGATTGAATGCGTGAGTTTATCCTTCTAAAGCTTTCTGAAACTTGAGTCGGGTGAATATCACGGACGCCTCATGTGGAGCACTACCATTACACATAACACACATAAAGAATCAAAGTACTCCTATCAGCCCGAACTGAAAGCCGTTATTCTCGGAATCCGGTTTCACCGTAATTCCGCTAGAACATCTTGACATAGGAAGACGCTCGTCAAATATAACAGCAGGAAGGAAACGATGTGACTGGTTATTAGCATTGATATCAAGACTATTTTACTACATATTCAAAATGAGTATGGAAGTGAAGAAGGAAAGAAGGCGAAAGTGATGAGGTGGACGGAGCCGCCGTTTGTCCACCGAGTTCAGTTTAAGGCACCTGAATGATAGAACAATACTAAATTGGTGTCTCTCTGTATGTCAACTGCGATTCAAGTTTGGTAAAACTAGCAAGTGAAGATAGGAAAGAAGAAAAGAACAGATCAGTTTGGTGGGTTGTTGCGAGACCCGAATGGAAGTGGAGTGCCCCGAAGAGGAGAAGAAGACGAAGACTGGTTCTATGCTACAAAGAAAGTGTATTACTATTATTATAAGTCTACTAGACACTCGCCGTCGAATTCAGCCTTGAAGCCGGGCTTCACTGGTGAAGAATCCCGAATCAAATACATAGTAAGTAATATTTATCAATGTTCAACCCAAATGGAATAGAAAAGACAAATACCCGACGAGTAAACTTCCGGACTGTATTGGATTTACAGTATAAAAGAACATATTGCAACCGCAAATCGTTTTCTCCAATTGGCCAAGGCTTCCTTCCATAACATCACAAGCAGCCGAATCAGAGAAAATCCGGAACAAGTCAGTACGATCAGAAAACACACGGACACATCTCTTTGAGATGTTTCTATTCAATTTTGGTCAAATTAGCAAGAGAGTGAGTCTAGGCCCCACCTTGTGCTTGTCAAGCAAAGAGTTAAATCAATTAGATAACTCAAGCTACTTACTCGACCCGGAACCAAAAGAAAACACTGCCGCAAAAAAAGCCAAAACAAATGAACAAAATCCGTAAATCCGTATAGACTAGTGACGTTCATCAAACAAGGCGATCCCGGCTGCCACAATTCATTTTAATGATGTAATAAATAAATAGCCTATCTTCCTGCTGATCATAAATTGAATCATAACCATCCCTTTTGATTCAAAGTCTTTGCTGATCACACAGCTAAACAAGTGAGTAGATCCGTGTTCCCCGTCGGGCAAGCCGATTTTCTGTTAATCCGAGGAAAAACAAACAAACAAACAAACAAATCAGAGTTGCTATTGATCCGGTAGTCCGATAGGAAGTTTCAAAGGGAAAGAAAGAAAGGAGAGAGAGTTTCGCGGACGGGGACAGAAGGATGATGATAGGAATCATCATAGATAGGTTCGGTGCGCTCAAAAGGAGTTTGTGTAACCGTATCCATGTTGTTCTCTTGCGTGGTTCGCGTAGAACATAGCCGCTGTATTGACGATCACAATCAAACGCGGGAGAACCGGACGGGAAAAAATCAAAGATGTGTATTGTTGAAGGCGTTACAATTTTGACTGACTGACTGACCGAGTCGGATCCGTTGATACTGATTGAGTACCGGCTACAGGGTGAGCTGAGATGGAAGGGAACGTCAAGAAGGGAAGAAGTTGATTCTGATGCCTGTTGTCTGATGCATACACGTCGGCGGGAGTGAGAGCTTGCGCACTGTCCGTGTCTATATTTTCCTATGTATGCATGCAATTGCATGCGTAGAGAAGCCGACAGCGCAAGTAGAACGGACCGGAACAGATAGACGCTCGCATGTTATCCGCTATCTATCTCTCCTCTTGAGACACGCAATGATGCATACATACGCGTGCCTATGTATTCAGTGAAGCTCGCGGAACAGCGTGTCATGGAGGAACATCGCGAAACTGTCCTGAGGGGGAGAAGAAGCGGAAATCCTCACTTCCTTCACACCTAATGTATCGCCCAAGTAGTGAAAGAATACAGTCAAATGATTGTCATGCCGTCTAGACCTTCATCCGCTCTTCTCCCGCGTTGTTCGTTCTTTTTCCCTTTCTCACATAATTTGATTAAGTACGTGCCTTTTCCAATACGGTTACTCACCATTCAGTGAATCGATACAATTCCATTCAACAAGTCGAACAGTAGATGAGCAGACATCAATCAGCATAACCACGGAAACAACACTAGTGTTTCTCGAAAGTCGCGGGTGGGCAAACCGGCCAGGCCGGGCTGACGATGAGGATGGAGAAATCGTAATCCATACCTAGCTTTGTCTTGATACCCTTAACGCAAATTTCTGCCTCGCTTACGGGCAAATATCTCGCTTTTGTTCTAATGCCTGACATGTTCGGAATACCGACTGAAATCAGATAAACAAGGTTTTTCATTTTTAGGCCAATTGCGATCTTTGTGCGAGGGTTCAAGATCTTCCGCTACCATCTTAAATAATCAAACACTAGTAATGCTGCCGCATAAATGAAAAAAAGGAGAAGTGAGACAGCCAGCGAATGGCTGTTGTGCCTGAGTCGCGTGCTTAGCGGGCATAAGTAGGCTTTCTGTATGTTGACAGTTGCAGAGAAGACGAAGAATGGCCTAGATGCCTGGAACGACTTGTTGGCGCCTGGGCGGATGCAGGACGGCCCAAGCCCAAAATAAAGATATGCCAAACACAGAGAAAATAACAAGCGAGCAGTTCGACGACCTGTTCTGATGCGATGTAGGATCAGTGCACGTGGAGAGAACAGCAGACGTGGATCAGGGTCACAGCCTCTTCCTGCGCTTTGCATTTTCCAGAGCACGGAAGAGATGTTCGTTGGGGTTTCGGAGAGGGCATCCCTACGGTTGTCTTAGACATAGGCACCTGCTTCGGCGATATCTTGCCAAAAACAGATGGATGAATGTATTCTTAGACATCGTATGGAGACTACGGCGACGCGCACTGCCAGCGCAGCTGCGAATGCGAAGCCCCGAAAGTGCATTGGAGCGGAGTCGGTCGGCCAGGGCAATCCGCATGCGGGTTTTGTATGCACATGTGTACTGTATATGGTTGTGATTGCAGCATGAATGGATGTCAGAGTCCGAATGAAATGCGGAGAGGTGATGCCGACTGGGAAGGCGCCCTCCTCGCGGTTCGGCGAGATGCGTACAGGATGCATTCAGGGACCCTCACCTCACTAATTCTGGACCCAACCTGGTACGATTGCGGTGTGTGTGCGTTTGAATTTTGGAAGCCACTTGCATCTTGATGCATCACCGAAACTTTATGCTGTGGACGGACGGCAGAGATGATTCCGTCTGGTATGATGATTCTCTTCCGGAAAAGAATCAGAACGCAGAACTGTCGTAAGGAGAATTCTGCATTGTTTTTATTTGTTTTTCGCCTTTCTTCTGCTTCGATCTGCGAGACTGGGGATAGATACGGAGTGGAGTAGGGTGCAACGACGTACAAGACGCTACGTAAGAGGAGCGGACGAAAGAGAAAGAGGAGATCGAGCGAGATCAGACAGATTTGTCCGCGGAAAGGTGCCGGCCGGAGATGCCCCAAAAACGGAAAGCAAGATCGACGGTGTGCCGGCTAAGCGCGCCGACACATGTTGTGAGTTCAGCGTGCAATCGAGTGCCTGTGGTGTACCCGCCCGCTCTAAAAACAAACGGCTATCCCGATGGCTTGTCCTGACGCTAAAGACCCTCGCCACATATCCTCTCCTCTCACCCTCCTCCGTCTTTCTCTTGTCCCGCCTCCTCACTAGCACTAACATGGCTGCCGCCGCCGTCGCCACTGCCCCGTCCGCTCTTCCGCTCCCTACTTCTGTTGCAGAGCAGAACGTACCAAGCTTGAGCAGGTCATATCCACTCCCCCCAACGCCTCCTTTATCCGATGACGAGCGTGATGACGGCGCAGACCTCAAATTATGCCTCGAGAGCGATGCAGAAAGCCCATGTGAGCTCTCGCAACGTCCGCTTGTCTTCGAACGAAGCATGGGCGACACGGAAGTATCCTACTACCTACCCTCTCGTGCTGACGGTGTAAATGACATGTATGCTAATCATTTCCGTTCCATTCTCTTGTTCTTGGACTAACTGCGTTGTTCTTGTAGGTACCTTCATCTTGGCTTCCGCGTTCCAACTTCTCTTCTTGCTCCCGCTCGCGTGCGCGCTGCGTGGGCATATATGCGCCTCATTCATCCCCCTCTCGCTGCTCACGTGCGCATGGAGCCTTGGGAGTACACTTCTACTCGCTTTGCATACGCCCCACCGCGGTCTGTCGCCGAGGCTCTCTCTGAGGCCGACGCCGCCCTCGAGTTCAAGTCAGAGACAAAGGACGCTCTCATCAACGCATACCTCAATGGTCCTCGAACGCTCAGCAATGAGCGTTTGTCTCACCTTATTTTAGGAAATGTACCTGCGGAAAGAACACCTGGCCTTCCGACACCCGTTGCCACACCCGCAGCTGTAGATGAACACGCCGAAGCCTTCCCGTCGGTTCCCGCTGACGAAGTGCTTGAGTTCGATCTCCTGATTTGTGCAGCACATTTCCTTGGAGATGGCATGGCACTTCACACCTTCGCGAACGAATTCTTCCAGCTGATCGCTGGGAAGGACGAGAACGGGCACGAGCGATCGACAGAGGCAATTGAGGAAATGCTCGAGCGGGAATGGGTGTCACTTTGGGGCTCGGGGAAGGAGACAAAGAGCTCCGATGTTCTTCCCCTGTCATTGGAAGATGCTCTTCCCCAAATCAACGGCCGTTTTAGGAACGCTGCCGCGAAGGTCGACTTCAAGAATAGCGAAGCGAAGGACATCGTAAGTGTCTTTCCTTTCTCGATTCTCCGATGTTATCTGATATTTGATATTTGTTAGGGCGGGCATGCATTCCCCCGCAGGAAGAGCTCAATTAGGCATACGGTTGTCCCAACCGTCGCACTCGACGCGAAGAAGACCAAAGCAATTCTCAAACGCTGCAAAGAAAACGGCGTATCCATCGCCAACGCCATCTTCTCGCTCAGTGCCGTCGCATGGAGCCGCATGAAAGCTGAAGAAGACAAGACCAAAGCCCGACAAAACAGCGAGCTTCCACTGATGATGTACACGGCACTGAACATTCGTCCATACTTACTCGCTTCAGCTACTGCGAACCGATCATACTGGTTCACAGCGATTGGTTACCTAAACGTCGTACTTCCGTCCTTCCTTCCTGCGTCCACCTCTGACTTCGAGGCGTTGAAGAGAACGTTCTGGCTTCGCGCACGATCTGCGAAGAAGCAGATCTCGCAGGGAGCTAAGAACCCGCTTCTCGTGAGTCGGACGCATGAGATGGCGCGGGTGAGGGGAGAACGTGCAAGGAAGTGGGCCCGTGAGGACGATGAGAAGGATGCTGGGATCTGGACTCCGCCTGCTTCTGCTCGGCCGACACCCGCGGCGCCAATAGCAGAGACTGAATCCTCGAAAAAGCCATGGACGTTACCCCCTGCGCCCTCTACTGCACTCATCGGGCTTTCAATGCTCGGTAACCTCGACGGCATGTACGCACACGCAGACTACCCATCCCTCGTCCTGCACACCCTTACAACGGGCTCGCGTCAGCGAAATGGTGCTGCTCTGCTCTTTGGGTACACCTTCGCTGGTAAACTGTGGTTGAGCCTTGGGTATGACGAGGAGGGCTTTGCGGATGGTGCGATGGAGAGGTGGTGGGCTGAGGTTCTGCGAGGGGTAGATGAGTTCTTGGTTGATTGAACTGCGCCTTATTGGACTTGATTTTAGAATTTTGATTTACATTTACATTTGACATATTGGCATATGTACATACACATTTACTACACTCATTGCATTTTCATGTCTTGTCTTGATGGACATTGTTGACCTTTATCATTTGTTCGCTTGATTTGTCTGTCTTCATATTTGCTTTGCTTGTTCTACATGCTTGTTTTGGTATCGCATGGACGCATACGTAGTATTAGTAGTAGTGGTAGTTTTGATTTTTGACTTTTTGGCCTTGCCTCGTTTCTGTTGTTGCATGCAATCATTATTCAAATTCACCCCCTCCTGTCTTCGTCTCTCGTCTGATGCTGCATCTGTGGTCTATTTCGATATTTTGATACTTCTTGAGTTTGTTCACAAGACCAGCTTCTAGCTCTAGTGATTAAACATTACATTGAGAAAGACGGCAGTGTTGCGATTTTCTTGATTATGTCAAAATTAGACAAACAATAATTAATAAGAACAAATAACACATCGCAGAGCCTATCACCACATCATTCAAGCACCTATATGCATGAAATTAACCCAACGTTCAGTTAGAAATTCACCCTGCACTCTCAACTCTAAAGCTGCTCTGCAGCTGCCCTCTCATACTTCACTTCGCCTGCATTTGTTTATGTGTTCATAAACATTTCGTGCGTAGACAGGTCCATCTTCATCAAATAGCTCCCACATCGTACCAATTACGCTTCGGAACCTGCTGAATTGCATAGCTGCTGATAGATGAAGCGATTCATCGTGTTCACCGGAGTGGAAGATCTCGGCGATATGGCAAGCAGATAGAAAAGCGAACTCGGCATTCGGAACGTCGGTTTGTATGATATCCAGAAGCGTCGAACTATGGTTGGTAAGTTTGAATGAAGAGTCGATTGGCTTTGGATCCAAATGACCGTGGCAGGCAGAATGAACAGATGTGGCCTTCTGGAGCATTATAATTACTGTACACCGAGACGCCGTGCGGTCGAGCCAATCTCAGCATCAGTAATGGAGATTAAACTGTGAAGAATGTCCCAGACACTCCTGCTCTAACTGCTACATTATTTGAGTTTTTAATGCTTGGTGGACTGGTGTTAACTCAGAATATTACACTAAAAATACAGTATCTTTAAGAATGCAATCGAATATTTGTAACGTTGATTAATACACCAAGGTTTTCTGAACATTTATCTTCAATGAATGAGAGATCTAGTCAATATAGTGCTATTCTTCATCCTTCCGTCGCCGTCATAGCGTTTGCTCCAGTTTGCGTTCCTCTACTGTACCCAGGACTAAAGCTCGTCCTTTATCGACGCAGAGGTTGCATGTCTCTTGGTGCCTGTGCTCGGAGGAGCATCCGTGAGCATCATCGTGAGGAGGTCATGAACGATGTCGGCCGCTGCGATGCCAGTAATTTCAGCTGAAATCGGAATGTAACGTGTCAATATCAGTATCGACAAGGATTATACAAAACCAAAAATGTAAACAAAACAGGCAAATTTGGACATGCTGTCAAAGAGAAAGGCGTACATACCGTGATCGTAGCTCGGTGATACTTCGACGACGTCTGCGCCTCTGTTCGATTTTGGAAGGATTGATTAATCGGAGCTAGAATTTGATGAAGGGACGAGACGTACACGAAGTTGAGGCCTGCAAGTCCTCGGATGATGCGCTTTACTTCACGCATGGTCCAGCCACCGGCTTCAGGTGTCCCGGCTTAGTTTGACATGAAGTAAGGTGAATATTCAATAAGTTCATAAGTGTAATATAACGTACTTGCAGGCGCAATGCCTGGATCTGCGACGTAAACGTAAATATATGCGTTCGTTAGTTGTCTACGCAATCTATGGAAAGAGCGGTACGAACCCAGGACGTCGATATCTAAACTGATAAACGAATGGTGTTGATTTGTTACAGGGGTGAATGAGCAGAACGAATAGCTATAATTACCTCAAATACACTGGCGTATCTCCAACTCGCGTACGAATTCGCCGTATGATTTCGGGTATGCCGAGATCATCAATGTCATCTGTCGAGATGAGCTGGAAGCCAACAGCGTCGTCGCTCTCGATGTCTGCAGGACCCTAACGAACAACGAATTTATAAATTCATAGATATAGGGGGGGGGGGGAAGTGCTTACGCCCATCTTGCATCGAATACCGGCGTGTACGCAGCGCGAGCTCATGAGACCTTCATTTGCAGCAGTGAAGAAGAACGTTCCATGAGTGACACGAGATTGCTCGGTAATCGAGCCAGGATAGGTAGCCCATGTGTCGAGATGTGCATCAAAGTGGATGACGGAGATGGGTCCGTAGACTTTGTGCAAGGAGCGGAGAATGGGTAGGACTATAGTATGGTCGCCTCCTAAACTGAATAAAATACAGGTTAATGGCGAATAGTAAAACAATGCAATCCTATATTACTCGTACCTGATTATTCGCGGGTGTGCTTTGCCATCGAGAGCCAACGATTGTGTCTTGTAACTTCCGGACGCAGACGTGTTCGCGACCGGACGAGCCAACAGTGTTGAATACGCAACTTCCATTTGGTCGACAGCCAGAGCATTATCAAAAGGCGATACCGGAACCTGGCATATGAATTATACCTGCTAGTCAGTAGTATGTTATTTTAGTCTCTGATACTTAACGCACATCACCGCAGTCAATGACCTTGGAACCCAGCTGATAGGGGTCGACACCCCAGAACAGTGTATAAGTGCGAGTCTCACGATGCCGACGAGCACCTGAACGAATCGCATATGGACCGAAGCGCGCTCCAGGACGATAAGTAACGCCAGTATCAAACGGCATGCCGAAGATAGCGATATCGAAGGGAGTTTTCGACTTCAAGCCAAAATTTCAGGGAGAGCATAATTCACAAATATTTAGTTGCATACTTCATCATCATCAAGACACCGTTCATAGGGAAGGTGGGCGAACGACAGAGGGCCAGAGAAGGGCTGATTGATCTGTTTCCCATATTTCTTCGCCCACGTTTCTACTTGATCATTGGATTGGAAATCTGCATTGTGCATGAAGTGCTCTTGCTCATGGTTGTGATGGGATAACGCTGCAGCAGAAAGCAATAGGATAGTGGTTAGATGGTTGAACATGAGGACAATGGCGTGCAACTTACACAGAGCTTCTTCCCTTCTTGAATGAAGGATAAATATAAGACGCGTTCCAGCGTGAGTATATGCGCGAACACGTGCGTATAATATGACAAATCATGTATAGCCGACCGGCCCTCATCAGGTATCGATAACCCCGCTGGGCGTGTGTGATGAAAACTGTGCCCTATAACATCCACCTCCCTCTACTTGGACTATTAACATCCATTACCATTAAATTTCTGCATTGATCCTTATCTCGCTTTGAGCGTACTACACCCCAGCATTTTTTGATTCTATTTTTCTGAAAAAATCTAGACACAATGGTGTACGTCGTCGTCCTTTGTCTCACCATGATCGTGCTGACTGATCTTGTTGCTCTGGTATCCCAATGTCGACGTCGTCCACAGTAACTTCACGGTAGATCAGATTCGTGGCTTGATGGACAAGCCGACTAACATCCGTAACATGAGTGTCATTGCTCATGGTAAGCATTCGTTTTGTGTCGACTATATGCGCCTATATGCTGCTGACAACGCCTTGGTGAATGTAGTTGATCACGGAAAGTCGACCCTCACGGACTCCCTAGTCTCAAAGGCTGGCATTATTGCGACCGCTAAGGCTGGAGACATGCGATTTACTGATACAAGGGAAGACGAAAAGGAACGCGGTATTACTATTAAGTCAACTGCCATCTCGATGTACTTCGAGGTCAGTAAGGAAGATGTGGGATCCATCAAGCAAAAAACAGATGGTGAGGTTTGAATGCATTGCTACTGCAACCTTGGTTTACTAATCCCATTCATTCATATTTCGTCAGGCAACGAGTTCTTGATCAACCTCATTGACTCTCCAGGACATGTCGACTTCTCATCCGAGGTCACTGCCGCCCTCCGTGTCACCGATGGTGCTCTTGTTGTCGTAGACTGTATTGAAGGTGTCTGTGTCCAGACAGAGACTGTCTTGCGTCAATCACTGGCGGAACGTATCAAACCTGTGCTTGTTATCAACAAGGTTGATCGTGCTCTTCTTGAGCTCCAGGTCGACAAGGAGTCTCTTTTCCAGACTTTCTCACGAACGATCGAGTCAGTGAACGTCATTATTTCCACCTACCACGACCCAGTCCTCGGTGATGTCCAGGTTTACCCTGATCAGGGAACTATTGCCTTTGGTTCTGGTTTACATGGATGGGGCTTCACCCTCCGTCAGTTCGCAAATCGCTATGCCAAGAAATTTGGTGTAGACAAGGAGAAGATGATGAGCAAGCTTTGGGGCGACAACTTCTTCAACCCGGCGACAAAAAAGTGGTCCACGAAGTCGACCGATACAGACGGAAAGACACTAGAGCGTGCATTCAACATGTTCGTGCTTGACCCGATTTACAAGATTTTCGATGCCGTCATGAACTTCAAGAGGGAGCAAGTGTTCACCATGCTCGAGAAGCTTGATGTCAAACTCTCACAGGACGAGAAGGACCTCGAGGGCAAGGCACTCCTCAAGGTTGCCATGCGCAAATTCTTGCCTGCTGGTGACTCATTGCTGGAAATGATTGTCATCAACCTTCCATCCCCGGCAACCGCACAACGCTACCGTGTAGAGACACTCTACGAAGGCCCTATGGACGATGAGTCCGCGATTGGTATTCGCGACTGTGACCCCAAAGCTCCTTTGGTCCTTTACGTCTCAAAGATGGTACCGACCTCGGATAAGGGCCGTTTCTACGCTTTCGGTCGTGTCTTCTCTGGTACCGTCAAGTCTGGGCCCAAGTACCGTATCCAGGGACCAAACTACATTCCTGGAAAGAAGGAAGATCTATTCCAAAAGGCCGTTCAACGTACAGTACTCATGATGGGCCGTTACATTGAGCCCATTGAAGACTGCCCAGCAGGAAATATTGTTGGTCTAGTCGGTGTTGACCAGTTCTTGCTCAAGAGCGGTACAATTACAGAGAGTGAGACTGCTCACAACATGAAGGTCATGAAGTTCTCCGTGTCTCCTGTCGTCCGGGTCGCTGTCGAGGTCAAGAACGCGGCTGACTTGCCTAAGCTCGTCGAAGGTCTCAAGCGTCTCTCGAAATCCGATCCGTGTGTACAGGCCTGGATTGACGAGTCTGGTGAACACATTGTTGCAGGTGCCGGTGAACTTCACCTCGAAATCTGCCTGAAGGATCTCGAGGAAGACCACGCTGGTGTGCCGCTCAAGAAGTCCGACCCAGTCGTCGGATACCGTGAGACTGTTAAGGCAGAATCCTCGATCGTTGCGCTTTCCAAGTCACAGAATAAACACAACCGTCTGTACGTCAAGGCTGAGCCGCTCGACGAGGAGCTGTCAAATGCAATCGAGGCCGGCAAAATTAACCCGCGTGACGATTTCAAGGCGCGTGCTCGTGTACTTGCGGACGAATACGGTTGGGATGTCACCGACGCCCGTAAGATCTGGTGTTTCGGTCCTGAGACAACTGGCCCGAACTTGATGGTCGATATGACGAAGGGTGTTCAATACCTCAATGAAATCAAGGATTCTTGCGTAGCTGGATTCCAGTGGGCAACTAAAGAGGGTGTGTGCGCTGAGGAGAACATGCGTGGTGTTCGTTTCAACGTTATGGATGTGACGGTTAGTAATACGGTTGTATCGCGTACGATATTATCTCATTATACTATTCTACTCTAGTTGCATGCAGATGCCATTCACCGTGGTGGTGGACAGATCATCCCGACGACCCGCCGTGTCTGTTACGCAGCATGCTTGTTGGCAACTCCAGGTCTCCAGGAACCCGTCTACCTTGGTCAGTCACCATTCATTTAACTCCTATTACCCAATCACTGACACCCAGCTCAACCGTCAGTCGAGATTCAGTGCCCTGAGAATGCTATCGGCGGTATCTACAGCGTACTGAACAGGCGTCGTGGACAGGTCTTCTCCGAAGAGCAGCGCCCGGGAACGCCGATGTTCACTGTCAAGGCTTACCTGCCTGTCAGCGAGTCATTCGGTTTCGTTGCCGACCTCCGCTCTCATACTCAAGGTCAGGCATTCCCGCAGTCAGTCTTCGACCACTGGGAGGTCATGAACGGATGTACGTATACTGCTTTACTAGCATTGGTGACACTGACTTAAAATTCGATGTGTTTCTTAGCTCCAACTGAGAAGGGCAGCAAGCTTGAGGAACTTGTCCGGAATATCCGTGTCCGCAAGGGTCTTAAGGTCTGTACTCTTCGCTTGTCTGCCTTACTTGCCCTCGTTCTGATTATTTTTAATCTAGCCGGAAATCCCGCCACTCGACACCTACTACGACAAGCTGTAAACATCCTTCAAATACTTGCCAGCTTGTTTGTAATTTTCGGGGGGAGATTGGGTTGATGCTTCCCACCCTGCTTTATAAATCGTCCCCTCTAAACCTAAACGCCTGCACTTCTCTAAATGGTTCCGCAGTAGTATCGACGTCGTTGTTGTAGCCCCCCTCCCCCTTTTTTTTCAGTGTACGAGCTAAAGACGCACGCATGAAATACGACGAAATTATGTTGTACTTTTGAAATTTATTAAGGCTGTTCGTTAGACGGACAATTGCTCTGCATGATTAGTGTGGAGCCGTGGGCGGCCTGCGCTGTCAACAGTTACGTTTGATTTGACATTCTGGTCTTGGCTCAAAATTCCTTCGGGTCCGAAGCCGGAGCCGTTCAGCTTGAGTCACCGCCTGTAAACATGCAGAAGCTATATAATAATATTAATTTGTTCTTTGACTCGGGCCTACAAGAACAGCTGTGTCCAACGTTGCTCATTTTAACCATTGTCCGTCTCGAACACCATCCTTACTCTCAGGAAACCTACAATACTCCGTTCTGCACCCAAACCTACTCCCAAACGCCATGTCTACAACGCAAGACTCCACACCACCACCAAACTCGACATCCTCACTCGACGTCTCCCAACCCGCTGACCTGCTTACCTACCTAGCAAACACGCCCTTCGCAAGTACACGAGTCGAACCACTCTCAGGAGGGTACGGTAACTTCATCTTCCGACTCCACCTCGTCAAGCCGTTCGCTGCAAGCACAGGAGAAAACCTACAGACGGTGATATTGAAACATGCAAAGCCATGGGCTGCGAGTGACAAGTCGTTTGATCTTGCTATTGAGCGGCAGGTATGTCGACCTCTCTGAGAATCTTTCCGTCAAATGGGATTTGGTGGCGTAAAATGACGTTAAATTGTTTTGTATTTGTATAGGCAACCGAAGCGACAGCTTTGAAGCATGTACGCTCGTTCCTCCCAGTAGATGCTCTAGCAACGGTACCAGAACTGTACCTCCACGATCCCGAAGCACACATCATAATCATGGAGGATGCAGGACCAAGCGCACGAAACCTGAAAGATCTCCTACGTACAGTTCCACTTAACGAGGAAACCTCGCGCGAGCTAGGTGCTGCGATGGGTCGCTTCCTCGCTGCAGTGCACGTTCACGGGACCGCAGATACTGCACTGATTGAGGCGACGCAAAATATCGAAGATGCAAGGCGCATTACCGCTTGGATCACGTACGGTAGACTCGTCGATTCGCTGAAGGAAGCAGGAAATGGCACGACACTCGTCGATCCACCGCTTGTCGGCTCCGAAGGCGTCTCCGAAACACAGCTTGCAGAGGTGAAAGAGCTAGTGGACTCCACGATAAAGAAAATATACGATGCGCGCACAGATTTCACCATGGGTGATTTCTGGACTGGTAATATCGTCGTACGGTTAACCCCAAACAAGGCGATCGAGCGCATATTCGTGGTAGATTGGGAAATATCGAAGCCTGGGTTGCAGTTCGCCGACTTTGCTCAATTCGCAGCTGAGATGAACACACTAAGGCGTTTCCATCCCGAAGCAGAGACTAGTGTAGTCACGGCATTGAGCGCATATAAAGAAGCATATATACAAGGTAAAGAGGTCGACGAGCAGTTCCTGCGATCTGCAGCTTCGCACCTTGGTGCTCATATGATCACGATTTCACCAAGAGTAGAGAATTGGAACGGTACCAAGGAGCAAATCAGGGAAGTTGTAAAGGAAGGCGTTGAATATCTGTTGGGTGGTATGAACGGTGATGTACAGTGGTTGAACTCGTCTGTTGTAGGTTCCTGAAATTATTGATGCATGGGTTGAATACCTAGTTATTGCGTACAGATAAATTGGTGAAAATAAATTAGATAGACTTGAGCGTCGCCAGTCCGGGAGGTCATCGAGTATACATTGCCCGAGCCCTCCTCAGAGGTATAACCTCCCAGGCTCGTCTCAAGCCTGTTGCTCGTGTTAGCCCTGTTTCATTTTGTGGGACCGTCAGAACAGCAACTCTGCGCAGTAGTTCTGGAGAATCGTCAGCCTCTTCCCCTTCTCCCCTATCCTCTTCCAGGACCTCGTCTTCACGTAGATCAATGTCATTATTCTGGACATCCTGGGTAGTTGCTTTAGCTGTGCCACCTCCAAAAATAGAGGTAAGAGGAGACAGCGGGTTTGCGATTACAGAGTTAATTGCTTCAGAAGCGTCGTCCAACAGTGTGCGGGGCTTGCGCATTGGCACAGAAGATAGAATGTAATTCCTCTGCCGCCATGCATTGGACGCGGGAACATGCGGATCATGAGGAGGATAGGCAGGATCACATTGGAATCGCACGAGAATTTGCTTGGTTGAGGATGAATACCAAAATTGTGGGAGAGGATGGGAGAACGCATTTGGGTAGGGGTGAGCGACTGGGCGTCTGTGCCGCTGGACCAAGCGACCATCTGATCTGTTTATTAGACTTCATGCAAAAGGATAATCATGCAATAGCCTCACCCTGGACGTCGATCGCATGTCCTGTCAGCCTTGAGCACAGAGAGCCGGATGTATCGATAAAGAACACCTGTAGGACTTGAGTTCACAAGTCGCTGGATCAAGACATTGCTTGTACCTGGTTATCCGCCTCGGGTCTCCTGAAACCTGACAGGTCTTCAGTCTAAGTATTCAGCTAGTGCAATTCTAATGGTTCTTACTTTCTACTATAGACGTTTCTTTCTCCGGCCACAAGATAATCTCTGCTCCATCGTCGACGCTGTCTAGTTCTACATCAAGTACTCGACCAGTTGCCACCGATTTGATGACAAAATACCCAAAAGGAAAGCCAAAATTTGACTCTGCTGCTGCTGAGGATACAGGTGGAGAATAAGGTGGTGGATTTGGGGGCTCCGAAGGTGCAGCAGTAGTGGACATGATGGTTATAGGTTAAGTGCAGTGCAGTTCATCAATCAATACGTAATACAAATGGACTTTGCTTGGTGATTCAGGTGAGTGCGTCGATCACTTTGACTGCCTAATATGGAAGGAAATATGACGACGTGTATTCGGCTGAGCGGCATCTGTATCAGCGCTTCTAATTATCAAGCCGACTCCCATACCGCGATATACCCGGTCTTACTTCCTTTCCCCATCGTCTATCCACGCTCTAGGCCATGCAGAACTCGCGGATTCCCCACGAAGGTGCATATGAAGCAGATGATGGAGATGAGGCCTTTCAAGGCATGGATGCCTATGTCGGAGACGAAGGAAATGGTGAAACTATGTATGGCATACAGATAACTAGGGACGAAGATGACGATGACGAAGATTATACTGACGAAGACGAGGATGAAGGTGTGGGGTTAGATATCGATGATTTAATAGAGGAGATAGAGGAAGCTGGTGACCTCGCCGCAGGAGAGGACGACGAGGAGTCTGCTGCTATGCAAGGACTTGAAGATTCTCAGGATCCTGCAACTCGCTTCGACTCTCTTGTTCAAAGTGAGTGTATACCACATTGGTGCCATACACGTCTGTGTTCACATTTAATGAATGCCAAAGGAATACTTTCAGCCCAGGCTGACACGGAGAACGACACCTCATCGACCAATACACTCGGTCGCGTCTTAGCGTTCCTTCGATCCGGTTCTACAAGGCTAACAGTGGTTCCCAATGCGAGGTCTAGGACTACGACGGAAGAAGTATCGGATGATGACTTCACGCGCACGACGGGTCAGGCCAACACCGCATATAACCGACGGAACTGGGTACAGTCATGGTGGAAGAAACCTCACACGGAACCTCAACCCGCTGGGGTTGCTCTGCTAATGGGCGGAGAGTTTGGGCGCATCGGACGAAAGATGCATAATCTGCCAGACGGCAGTCGGAACTTTTCGCGTATTTTAAGGGAGAGGTCAATGCGCATTCAGCCAATGCCGAAGCAAGACTTAACAGAGGTATTTTATTTAGCTGGATCTGATAATAATAGACGGGGGTATTCACTTTCTCCGATTGCGCAGTATATGGTACCAAACTCTGCCGGTGCTGAGGTTTCTGCATACCAAGCAAACGTGTACTCTGGTCAATATAGTGCAGGTAACAGGATCATTTGATAACCATTCTGATAAACGGGCTAACGGAGTTGTCTAGATTCCTCCTTCTATTACGTTTGCTGCAAAGGTGAGCTCCTTGCACGGAAATCAAAACTTAACAAACCAAATAAACACACCGACTCAAGATTTCAATCTTCATGTATACGATACAACTGCCATGCCTTCGAAGGAGGCGCACAACGACCGTCGACATGGACATAGAACACGGATGAAAGTTCATAAAAGTATAAAGGGGATTCCCGAAGGATGGACGATCCCGGATTCACATTTGAGTTCCGACAACGAGAGGTGCGCGATGTATTTCTCTCTCACTTCGCGCGTACTAACGTCAATCCAGGTTGATTTATTCTTCTATGGTAAAAAATTCGAATGATTGTCACGGCCGAATTTACTTGCTTACATCTGCATTTTCAGAGCCCTACGGTATACATGGTCAAGACTCTGGAATACGACTCCACCCAAGTTGCAATCAATTTTGCTGATGCAGGCCGGAGGTCCTACGGCTGGGGATATGGGGACGACACATGTATATGGAGTTGTCGCTTTTCCGCTGATGGGAATGAGGCAAGTCAAGCGAATGCCCTGCAGTAGTCAACTCTTATATTTCCTTCAGGTCATCGCGGGAGGAGGGGGGAAGATATTCGGTAGGTGGACTTGCTGTTGATTTTTTATCGATTCCTAGACCCTATTGTCCGCAGTATACGACCTGTTGGCAGACAGACGGACAGTCAAAATATCTGCGCACTTTGACGATGTCAATAGCTGTTGTTGGGCTGACCAAGGCAGTAACGTATTGGTTAGTGCTTCTGACGACACCTTCATCAAAGTTTGGTGGGTCCTATATGACATGCTTCATAATTTCTTTTCTAAACATCTATATATCCCAGGGATCGTCGATCATTGGGTTCATCAACACGCCCCTCTGGAGTTCTCATAGGACATACAGAGGGCATTACAAACGTTTCGGCAAAAGGCGATGGACGATATGTCATTTCTAATGGGAAAGATCAAGCACTACGATTATGGGATTTGAGAAAAATGACGCCCAATTCAGAATATAACAAAGTCAAGGATACACATTACGGTCTAGAAGGCTTTGACTACAGATACGTGGAAAACGACAGACCACAAAGGCGGCCTGCACATCCTAAGGATTGTAGTATCATGACTTACCGGGGACATTCCGTTCTGCGAACCCTGATTAGATGCCACTTCAGTCCAGCGGAGACTACTGGAGGCCGTTACATTTACTCTGGATCGTTCGATGGTCGAATTCACGTACGTATCTATGTTACTATTCAAGGGTCCATGTTGACATACTGTCCCACTTCATTAGGTCTGGTCATTGGATGGTCGTGTTGTACAAATTCTCGATCGTTCGGAAACGCTTCCATTAAGCTTTGATTACTCTGGCCCTGAGCTACCCCCGAAACATAGCGGCAGTCCTTGCGTGCGCGACGTTACCTGGCACTCGCGTGAGCCTGTCATGCTTAGCGCGGCATGGGGTTCTCACGGGACTAGCTCAGTGGCACGGCACGAGTGGAAAGGTTTGACAAAGATGAATCATAATTTGGAAGATTGGGTAGAAAAGATGTCCAGTGAGGGAAGGGAAAGGCACAGGAATGGTGTACCATTGAGACGATCACAACGATTTGCCCGCATGTCAGGTCGTCTCCCTGGATCATTATACGATGACGATGACGATGAATACGACGAGGATTACCATGACTATGACTATTACTAAAAAATCATGTTTCTCTACACAGTCCCGCTCGTATATGTTGTGTACTTGTACTTCGTTTTGCAATCTGCTGTCTTAGTAGCCTACATAGTCCAGTCGACAAAATGTACTGAAAGTCGTTTGTCCATGCACTCATGAAGTATAAATAATAAATAGAGATACGCTTTCTAAAAATTCTCAAATGGAAGAAGTCCATGCAAATCACTACATACAATGGTTAATCTTCTTGACTGCTGTGCAGAGAACTTCTGCCTCAAGATCAAGGGGCCGATCCGCATGTCTGTCCGAGTTATGTTTTCTCACGGGTTTCAAACTCCGAGACCAAATACAGTAAGCAAGGTAATCGCCACAGACGAACAAGTACAGTACAGTAACTACTACAGTTACCGCACTTGTTCTGATCCTTTGTTCTACTTATTTTCGAGTTTCTTTCGCGCAAGCCCGGGCATAGTTTTCTTGTTGTATGGGACACGATGGTTCCTCTCATTCAAATAACAGCGGATGAAGTAAATCACATCGTATATTCGTATCTACAGGATTCTGGTATGGAAACGCGTGTTTTTGCCTCGATCCCTAAAGCATTTTACTGATACGTTCTATTGTTTTTGATTTCTTGTTGGATTCATTATTATTGCATGGTGATAGGCTTCCTCCACACTGCATTTGCATTACGCGTAGAAGGCCGACTCGAACAATCCAAACATTTCAACGATTACGTTCCGCGCGGCGAACTCGTCGAGCTCCTCACGAAAGCGCTTCTATATACTGAGGTCGAAACGCACTGCAAGGGTGATGGGCTAATTACAGATTGCAAAGCGCCGTTCTCGCTTCTCAAGCCTCATGAATGCGCGGTCGACTTAATGGACGACGGGGTGAGCGGGACCGCAGACAAAGTCGGGAAGCTGACTGTAAGCAATGGTGTGCTGGAAGCACCTCTGAAACGTAAGGCGAGTATACCCGCGGAAGGAGATGCACAGAATAGAAGGATTAAAAGGAGTTTGGAGCCTGAATCGGCGGATACGAATACTGGAGTTTCTCGAGATTGTACGCATTCATTTATATTTTTTTCTACGTTGCTCCTTTTCTTGGGATAAAATCTAATCTTCAGCTATTATTCTATGAAGCACCTATAAGCATACCAGACGATCGTTTAATAACGCCAAGCCCGGAACGGGATGGATCTCCGATGTCAGTGTCCGTGGTTCCGTCGAACGGCGGGAGAATGAGAAGCAAATCGAGAACTAGGAAAGAACCTGGCCCCGGTGACTCTACGACTTCTCCGAAGGCCATTCTCTTGCTAAGGGGGCATACGCAGGAAGTAAGAGGACTTATTTTGAAGGATTAAGACTTGTTAACCAAATGGTTGTAAGGTTTTCGTTTGTGCTTGGAATCCCGCCAAGCATGAGTTACTCGCCACTGGGTACGTTTAATCAATAACTAACAAGACTTGACACTGAAGTTCTATGTATTGGAAGATCTAAAGATGCCACAGCGCGAATTTGGAACCTGCCTTATCCTCCAGACGATCCTTCGCAATTTGCGGAAGCGCCGGATAAACCGCCAATCGTCCTTAAACATATATCGGATGAATTACAACGGGATATAACGACGTTCGACTGGAGTTCCGATGGAAATCTCTTAGCAACAGGCTCATTTGACTCTTTTGTCCGTATATGGACTGTGTCAGGTGAACCTTACATGTCACATCCGCAACACCAGGTGAGCAAAATACTTCTCAACTGTTCTCAATAACTTTTTTAATCTCCTCGGTTCAATTCTATAACAAGGGTCCTATATTCGCGACTAAATTCTCGAACTCTGGACGTTGGCTACTGAGCGGGAGCTTAGACGGAACAGCTTGCGTCTGGAACGTTGCGGAAAAGAAATTGCATATGCAATTCCGGTGTCATGATGGTATGTCTACTAAACACAATAAGTCCTGTCGCGAGTTATTCATCCATCGCAGAATGCTGTTTGGACGTCACCTGGCTTGATGAGAGTATCTTTGCAAGCTGTGGTGCTGATAAGATTATCAAGATTATGCGAATTAGTGATCAGAACCCGCTGCTGGCACTTCAGTACGTTTTCTGCGTTTTTCTTTGCGAACTAGCTTGTAGCTTTAACCATTCATTTAAGAGGACACGAGAACGAAGTCAATCAAGTAAAGTTCAATGCGTCGAAGACTCGTCTTGCATCTTGCTCAGATGACAAGACTGTTCGGATATGGGAGATCGGGAAATTGTTGACACAGTCTGAGCGGCTGGACAACGTAGAATGTATGACATTATCCGGTCACACCGATTCGTCAGCGAATCTAGCCTGGTGTCCAGAAAGACCTGACAGGACAAATGAAATTATTGCTTCGTATGCTGTCTTGTTTTCTAATCTTCCTGGACTAGGTATTTATGCTGTACTTCTAGATCTGCCTTTGACGGATCAATTCGTATCTGGGATGCAACAGCTGGAACATGTTTGCATGCGATACATGATCATAAGCAAGCAACGTATACCTTAACTTTCAGTCCAGATGGCAGGTTCCTCGCAACTGGTGGTGGCGATGGTTGGTTGTACGTGTACAACGTCACAGTACGTCTCCACCATTCTGCATCCAAGTGATCGCCATTAATTTGAAACTTGCCCCCTCCCCCAGACCGGCAAGCAAGTTTGGTCCTGGTTTGCAGGTTCAGAAAAGTCTGGAATCTACGAAGTGACCTGGCAACAAGTGGACAGGCTGAACCGAATAGCTCTGTGCTTAGAGTCGAATTATGTCGCAGTCGTCGACGTAACGCGTGTTCCTGCACTAATGGAAGTCAAGTAAATATGAACAATCTACATATTTATAGGTTAAGGTTCAATTGTATATTTTCTCTCTCTTTCCATGTAGCGTTATACTATACCACATATTGTTGTAGTTGTAGCTACAGCATATAATGCATTGTAGTTCCCTTGTAGATGCAGGTCAAACGTCACTAAGACGGCGAACACGGACAATCTTGAAACAGTAAGAATATTACAAGTAATCTGATGCTCCCTTCCCTTTCTCCTTTGCTTCGCCCTTCCCATTTTCGGCTCTTGCTGCAGACACATGCAAATTTGTCATTAATTGATATCTGCAATGCCGGCAGCCCGTCTTGTTGAAAGTCTGGCCTTACTTGGATGGCTGAATTGTCTGGCTGCCTATAGTATGTCAATATGAAAGCACAATATTTAGTTCGGGGATCTTGTTTGGTTCGTCATACACGTTTGGTTTGTCACCATCCGTCCAAGTGGTTCTTGTCCACTGAACTCTAAGCTATTCTGTAAGGATATAGTGCAATGGTTAATGCTGGGACACTTTGCATATCTTCACTTTTTAGTCAAGTGCTAGTATGGGCAAGACGTAACTTGACGAGGAATGCTTTATTATACTTTAGCTTCTATGCTGAAAAGGTGCACACATTACATCAACAGGTACAAACGGAGATATTGTCAAGCAGTAGCTCCTTGCAAAGTCAAGGCTCTTTGCACATCTTTCCCTTTTACAGCCCCAAAGTCTTTTGTATCATGGTTGAGAATGCCCAAAATGCACAAGTTACTGAGCAATGCCTTTACGTTCTATGCTAACAATGTACACATATTGCTCTAAATCACACAAGTAGGGTAGTTGTTAAGGAGCTGCATTTCACTTACTAGTGTTACAGCACAAAGTTCGTTAGGGTATTAAAAGGATGCATGCCTGATGTATGTAATATTTTTAACAGGATCACACCAGACCTAGTTACAGTAAATTGAGTACAGTACAAGTCATGAGCAAGGAACACAGTTCAAAGGATCACACAATGATTCTAGCAGAAAGGCAGCAGGTCGCTCTTATGGAGATATTTTACAAGAAAGGATTGACAATACTGATGATAAAGTAGCTAAAGGCGAACTTGGGTTTTACAAAACAGCACTTGTGACGAAGGATGTTGAAGATTCAAAGCTTGACTGTGATGGTAGTTTTGATGGAAGGATGAACTGTATTAAGGAAATGTACAGGACCAATCAAATTGTGCAAGAGGCCGAGCAGTATTCTAAAGAAAGAAAGTTGTAGATACACAGTGAATCCAAATTCTGCCACAATTATTGTCTAGAATGATGATCAGTAGTGCTCAGTTGCTAGTATAATGATTAGTAGACATTATATTAGTACACAGTTACTACAAGTTGTGTACAATTTCAGCTATTAACATTGAAATACTGGAGACTGGCCTGGATGAATGTCTGTTCTCTACAATCAGTTGATGAAAGCATTCATTTAGGAATCAGAATCAAACATAAAAGCACACTCCTTAGTAAACTCTGCTTACTTTAAATATATTCAACTCTTACTATTAATATAATTCTTATCTGATTTGTAAGGGTATAGAGTTAATACTTTGTATATCTTCCCTGTTTTCCCTTCTGACATCTGCTCACACATCAAAAGCCAGCACAGGTAAAGATGCAAGTCAATTAGGAATACTTGCTAGTATTAAGTAGTAAGTTGAGTCATTATACTAAAAAATTATACAAACTTTACTAAATGTGAACAGTCAGATAGTTAGAAGAAGATGCTCTATACAGGATCAAGAAGCTTTGCATACCTTTCCTCTCTGTCTGTGCTAGGATCTGCTTGTATACTGTGGTTGAGTTTAAGCAAAGAAATAACTTACTAAGAAACACTTATAACTTATATATATATATATTATATCAAATATGTATTAGTTATATAGTTGGTAAGTAGTTGCACATTGCAATACAAAGAGACTTTGCTTTTCTTTCCTTGATTCTGTACATAAATCAGCCAAGGCTTTACGACTAAGATTGTGAAAAGTTGCAATTGTGGTTTATACTCTTAACCCTTTTATACTAAAAGTTTACACATTCCCAACTGTATGTGACTAGGATAATTGCCAAGAAGCTGCCTTTTGCTTCCTAGCTATTGTGGTGCAAAGTGTGTTCAAGCTATAAAAAGGATGTGTACATGTACACAACGAATAACAGGAGTAGCATTGTACTCAGCAATAGTAGCACACAAGCCATGAGCAAGGAATAAGGTGCAGACAAAGCAACCAAAACTACTAACACATATGGTGGCAGCAGGCAGTCGCCTTATGTTAGCGTTCAAGAGATAGATGCTACTATCAAGAGACATGAAAAAGAGAAGTATGTTAAAGAGGCACTCGAGGGGTGGAAAAGTGCAATTAGTAAGAGTAAGAAGTTCATCGAAGAAAATGGTTGCGAGATAGACATGATGAGTTGCTTTGGAGAAAAACAGGCGCTCTTGGAGAACCAACAGGCGGCCACCAAATATATTAAAGAGAATAAGCTTTAGGCATGTAGTGGTTGCGTACACTGGGAATACAATAGACTAGATTACCGCGAGCCTCGATGACCCCAGACGTGTGACGCGTTGGTCATCGAAGACTCTAGACGATTTGCGTGCCGAATCCAGCCGTCAACGTCGTCATCCGTCCCGAGCTCATATATAATAATTCTTCAGCGAGCTGCGTTTCCTGAACGCTCCTCGCAACACACATAACTTCACGCTGTGACATGCTGCAGGCACGACTGTTTGCCTCCATACGTCCACGGCCTGCATTCACTGCTGTGGCGTTCCGTGTAAATGCCTTCCACTCTAGGCCGCAGGCAGGTGGAACTGCCAATGTCTTTCGCCGCTCTGGTCTTTTGGCGAGTTCGTTAAAAGCTGCGCCGAAGAATAAAAGTACCCTTGCGAACTCACCCATACTTTTGACTCTTCGGCGGACGATCACTACGGAGAGTGAGGTGATTACACCAGTGTCGAAGGCCGAGGCCTGGAAGAGACTTGGTATTGCTGCTGTAAGTGGCCAATATTCTGTACCAAACAATTTCTTTGCCTTTGTTTTTTACTGAAGATTTCGATGTGTTCGTCTAGGCTGGCGTTGCTGGGACGGTCGTAGCAGTGAATGTCATTCTGAATAGGGAGACTCGAGATGCACTGTCTCCTGCCGAAAGTTCGTATCTTAATGACAGTTTCAAGTATATGGGAGGAGGATTGGCCATTACGGCTGCTGTGGCGCGCTCGATGTTCAAGAACGGCTTTGCGTTCCGTGTAATGTCTGCCAATCCTTGTAAGCATAAAGTATACATCATGTGAAAAACAGATCCCTTACAAAGCTTCTCTTTCACAAAGGGGTTGTCCTTGGTATTAGCTTAGCGTGAGTAAAGACTAACACATAACCAGTACATTGTACGGATAACTTACGACTTGTGTGCAGTGGTAGCATTGGTTCTATGCTTGGTGTCTTCTATACTTCGCCGGAGAACACGGTCTTGAAGCATACCTTTTGGCTAGTAAATAAGTTTCTTACCTCATCATGGCCTTCAAACTTATTTTGTTTCAGGGATTCAATGCCTGTCAAGCAGCGACGCTTAGTCCGTTGTTCTTCCTAAATCCAGCAATTCTCTCTCGTGCTGCCCTATACACAGCGGGTGTGCTGGGATCCTTGTCATACGTCGGAGCAACTGCAACGTGAGCCCGAGAGTACCCTCGATACACTCCTGTCTTAACAATGTGTTTTGTCTCAAGGACTGACAAGTACCTATACTTGGGTGGTCCTCTTCTAGCTGGAATAACAGTCGTCGCACTCTCCTCACTCGCACCTCTTGCTCTTCCGCTCGGTATGCGCAGCCTTGCTATTACCGAGGCGATTACGCTGTACGGTGGTCTTGCTGTCTTCGGTGGTATGGTGCTTTTTGAGTAAGTTACCTAATGCGACTTGTATTTCCTTTGCTACCTGTGCTAATCTTAAACAATTTTAGTACACAGAAGATACTAGCACATGCACGTGCGGCTGAAGCTGGGGTCATCCCACGCGATGCTATGAGAGAGTCGATTGCTCTCGAACTGGACTTTATTAACATATTGTAAGCACTCCCTTTTTCACAATTTGCTAATTGCGGCATAATCTGATTGGTGTCATGTGCAGCATCCGTATCGTCCAAATTCTTGCTATGCAGGGAGGCGGTAACAGAAGGAAGTAACTGGACTAGCTAGTCATTTTCGATCGCCAACTTCTCTTCTAAACTTTTTTCTTTTCGTTACGAAGCAAGCTACCTTCCGACAAACTTCATTGTACTAGCTCGTCTATGTCAAAATCTACTTTGAATTTGATTATCTTCTTGTCTTCACATAGTTGTATAAGCGTAATCTTATTTGTTCAATTGAAGGATAAACGTTTGAGCACTGTCCTTGATTGGAATACAAGTACAATAATGTTAAATAAAATACAAATAACTGGTCACATCCAGAAAAACCGTCTCAGAGCTGGAAACCACCTGGAAGTTACAATCCTTCTCTACACAGTAGTCAAACCAACCCCCATTAACGAGACGCGCGACGATAGAATAGATGTAGAACCCTTCCCAGAGAACGCCCTACTTTTCTCGATTAATAGTGCACTCAGGACGATTTTGTCAAGGATCTGAAATTGGGCTGCACGTTCAGAGTAGAGTATGCTTGCTGGCTTTGCGTATTTGTCTATGTGTAGACGGCCCTTCGTTGCTGGCACGAAGAGGGCTATTGGATGCGATGAAGAGGAGGCGGAGGATGTGAAGAGCTATAATTGGTAGTACAATTAGAATTTTAATTTTCAGTAAGGTAGATGAAGAATGGGAAGATGACTGATTTACTTGAAGAGTCAATCCTTTATCTTGACCACTCTTGACTGTGTTCTCAGGTTTCCATATGTATGCTTTCCCCTTCTCATCGGTAAAGGACACACCCCTAACATTGGGAATAAATATTAGACAAATCATTGCCTACATAGTAACACACATATCTACACTTACCCTATTCGGCCAACCTTCCTCCTCTTCAACCAGTCGCCAACAGTTTGCTTCTTCCCGCCCCTCAAACACAGCTTATCACTTCGATAAAGATGCCACTCCAAAGTAGCAATAACATTATCATCACTATCATTCGAAGGTACTTTGTTTCCCGAGGCGTCTGTAGCTCTTCTATATGTTGTTATCGGATGTGCCCCCCTCTCATTCGTTCGCACTACGTAAACAGGATCTTGTGGGAAGCTAGGATTCACTATATCAGTTCGACAGGGGTCCTTCGAGGTGAGTTCGAGGTGTTCCCATTGGTCGACATCGTAGTCTGCCTGCAATGGCTCGCCAGAGTCGTTAGAGAGTGTGAGTAGCAGGTCAGACATGGTGGTTAGGGGTGAAGTCCATTTCCCATAGCCTTGTCATATATACCTTGCGACGAATACATTAATCTGTTCGCAGCAGCACAGCAACGGGCGTGGGAAAGCTCCACATTTTGTTAGCATAGCATTTTTGAAATGATCTAAAAATAGAAAAATGCAGGCAGCAAAGCCTCCAATTCGATATCCTCTGACTGCGGACATAGGAGAACAGACTGGAGCTGTAACCTGTGTAAGGTGGAAGTTATTAGTTGATGTGACTCAGGAGAGGAGTACTCAATGATTTCTTCACTTCGTACAAAGTTCTGTGCTGCTTGTCGTCCATCAAGAATTGCCATTTGCAGTATCGCTTCTCATTTGATTTACTTACGCAGAAGTATAAGAGAATATACAAACATGAGAAATAGTCGCTTGCGACATGAGCAGGAATCATTAGCCTCTCTTCCGTCGAGGTCCTCAGTTCACCGTGGATTGATCATCGCTCATTTCCGTAAGAGACCTCGAAGATATTTTTGACTCACTGCATCCTTGCGATACACGTGGTACAAAGTGATAGACAACGGGACTAAAATGCACTGTTTTGATTGGTGGACGCCACAATCTTTGCAATGGAAGCGCTTGAATTAAGTATAAATTTAAACGCACGTACCGCGTATTACATCGGAGAAACACTGAACGCACAAAGCTAGTGCCTCCCATAATCAAATAAGCGCTGTAAGAACACGTGTACGACCGGATCTTCGGAATATCCTCGGCAACCGAATGCTTAAAGCGTCAGCTTTCTCACCGATTTTGCATTTATCGCGGAGGTAGGTAACATACTCAGAGGAATGTGCCAATAGTCGCCAGAACCCGCAGAACCTGAGAAGTCTTCGGCGTCAATTTGTGGGATTGTATACTTTGCGGACATTAGCGCCACTGATACATTGAGGAGATGGAGGATATCTTGCTTTGTGTTAAGCCGATTACTGAGTCTTTCGCAGGTGAGTTCGCAGATGAGTCAGGTGTGACTTTACGTGGGAAAGCATCATTCGCGCAAGCAGACAGAATGACTTCAATAGATGAGAACCAAGCATCTCCAGCGTAGGAAGCAAAACGCATTGATAAAACCTCTTCTCGAGGTTGACATCGGACCACAGGAACATGACGCGACTGCCTTTCGCAGCTAGCGGACCTGATCGCCTTCATTGGCAGACAACTTCCGCTTGGCCTGAATCGTAAGCCTCAGCACTGATCGGGAAGCGAAAAATGGTGCTTGGAATCCCAAGCTTGACAAGAGTTCCTCTGATTCGACCCGTCTTCAGCGGAGAGAAGCAGCACAGCCAAAGCGAGATGAAACAGTGCCACCACGAGCCTTTTTGAAAATTGAGAAGGCAATTAGATTGAATTGAGTCAATTACATCCGAGTTGACCAGATCTATAGTCAGCTCTTTTGTGCAATGCCAGATCTGAGCAGATAAGTCAGTGGTATTGTTCAGCGGAGGTACGTTCGCAAATGGCTCCGAATAAATAAGGACGACGCGGAGACGGCGAACTGAAGACTCCTCGTGGAGGTAGAGCGCTCGCGTAGTACAGTTGACGCTCATAAGAGACCGCTCCCATGACCCAGATAACATACCGCAGACACATGTTGAACGCCTGGCTTCGGTGATGATAGTAATAGAATGTACCTGCACTTTATGATGCAACTACTTAAAAATGGGCAATTGCCAGTCTAAGTATACCGTATGGCGCACGGAGACAACGTGCAAACAGACCGGTTTGCCGAGGACGTCCGGGATATGCCCACAATCGCAAGTGTAGACCAGTGTGCTTCGCGCGCGAGGCAAAAGGCGCCGTGCGTGGCTTCCAGGACACGGCGAACACGAAGACGAGCATATCCGGGTAAGAATAGGGGATTGCTATTGAGGGATACACACGCCTGGGGGCGGTTGTCGGCAATGGCAAGATGGTCAGGAGCATACATTGAGGAGGGAGGAACGTGAGTGTAGATCCATGTTGTCGTGGTAAATTGACTACAGCTGCCTAAATAGGAATAAGGCTGGAATCCTCGCTTCTCACCAAGCCATGACAGAGGATGATCCTCAACAGCATATTTCGACGCCCCAGACCATATTTCCCGCAATTCCTATCGAGTATATTCTCACTCCCGAAACGAATTACTCTGTGTACTTTAGACGCCCCAAAAAGAAACCATTACGCGAGCTTGATGGAAACTGAGTGCAGCACTGAGGCCTCGTGTATCTTACTTGAGTCTTCTCGCCTCGTGGTTTACAGGCCGTACATGCCTCTGTCTCTCTTACCTTCATGACCTCAAGCACATCCTCTGGCTTGTCCCCCCTTCAGAGAGGGCAAGCAAGAGAGCACGAGTCCAGGCGAGTTCCTGCCTTTTCCCCCGATTTACCTCATGTTCAACGTATTCAGTATAAATTATCTCATTTTTACAGTAATGCACAATTTAGTCTTAAAAAAATCCTTCCGATCAAGAAAAATGACGCAGAAATGCTTACGCGCCAGGACATTCAATACGACCTCTTAGAATATATTTTCACAGATCAAACAAAAGCGTTCACTGACCAGAGGCCTGGAAACGCGTCGAAAAAAATATGCTTCAAAGATCTCTACATTGGTGCCCTATTCCAGTCGAGTAAATGCTCGAAAGTTCTTAAGGATAAGATGAAAGAGACTCCCGCATTTGCGGCAGAGCTAGGCAAGATATCCTTACTCGCAAACGTCGGTCGAATAAACACAACAATGGCCTGTGCGTAACATTTTATTTTATTTTATTCGAAAATTCTCCTCACCTATCTCACAACGATTAAACAGTTTTTCCCGAGATGCGTACGGCCCTGCGTACTTATCACCCAGTACCTTCATTACAAAAAACAGATGGCAACCTACAGGATGCACCACGAATAAAAAATTGCTTGAAGGCAGCATTGTTGCCCTCAGAGCGAGACTTGCCACCTACATCTCTGGCCGCGGTGCTAGAGAAACTCGTAAGGCACATTCGTATCTATTCTATTTCTGTGCGTTAATTCGCTGATAGAGGACAGGCGTAAAGCCGCCCACTAGCATTGTTAATTTAATCTTCATTATGGCCAATCAAACGACGGTGAACTCATACCTGTACTGATATATGGTATGTCGTTCTGACTACGCGAGTCGGTTTTATCAGCTCCTAGCACGGACACATTTCGATCCACCGTTGGATTTTCTAGATTTGTTCATGCCTGGTAACAACATCCCCTCCTCCAGCCGTGCGCGAGCCTTTCTATGGCTTGTATATCACTATCTGGAGGATCCGACATCTTCGCCAAGCGGCGGGCCAAGTACGAATCCCTTCGCGGACGAATACTCGGAGAAAAATCCAGGCAAGGTACCGTTGTTGCCACGCCTGTCGCCGGAGGAGATGCGAGGCGAGAATATTGATCCACCAGAGGAGATCGAATGGGGTAATAAGATGTGTGCTCTCAGGACATCGTTCTTGCAAAGGCTGGTCAGGACGAGTGAGATTGAGAGGCGGAACAGGAGCGAGTTCACGTCTTCGCAAGGTTCGCAGGTCTCTTGTATATTTAATTTCCTGCCCTTTGTCCCTCACGGACTGATTCATTACACTCTTCCAGTTTTGGAATTGGCACCTCCCAACACAAGACGCCCACGGGCACCGCGTCAGATCTACACAAGCGTAGACACGGAGAGCGGCTTCAGGCACTATGCCCCTCAACCGTCTCCTGAGCAAGAATCAAGCAGGAGTGTCAGACGTCAGTAGCCCCTTTTGTAGCCCCTTTTATCGAACGCTGCTTCACTCTAAAATCGAGTATAGGACATTCGCCCTATCCTCGGCCGCCTTCCGAAAACGTCCCAAAGCATCCGCAACCACGTCAAAGGACAATGTTCGAGCGTGAGTTACCGAGGACAAAGCTTTCTAGAAACAGACGTGAAACGCTATATTTTCAGATGCGTTTCACATTGTCTCGACGTCGGACCCTCTAGCCGATTCTGACGAGGATGACGATGAGAATGTACACGTGGACTATGGTAAATGCCAGCTCATTGGCGAGATAGAATCAAATATTTACTGACGTGGCTTTTGCCTGATTTTCCTTGCTTACTTTATAGAACGGCGCCTTCATGTACTAAGGCGTCTACGCGGAAAATCACCAACACCCCCTCGCTTCAGCCCAAGGCTCCAGCCGATCGAAGGACCAGAACGACCGGAGTCTGGTCGCACCCGATACCATCCATACCCCGGTCACCAAAGGATAAGGAGACGACAAAGTGCCAACGGATCAATCGAACATCACAATGTACCAACGGACTAATTAATCAGTACACAGACTCTTTTCGCTTTTTGTTGTGGCTCCTATTTTTATTCTCGTGCGGAATCATTTGTTTTCACCCTGTCAGCAATCCGTGTAAAAGTAGAATTTGTTTCCCAAATTGCGTATCGATAGCTTTGCCTCGTTATGATTCGTTATGAATTTCAAATACGCCTATAGCTAAAGTACGATAGCATGTATGAATCAGAAGTCTAGTGCTTGTAGTATTTGTCAAATCCGCAATCTTAGCTACCTCCTTACGGCACGTGGATGAAGGTATAAAACGCCACTACGTCACGGCTAGGGAGAAGAACTGAATGGCAGGGCACGCGTCAATTGTTCCAGTCCGCGGAGTTGCGGTAGAGTGTTTTTGACTTTGAACTCATTATGATCCTACTACAGCAAGTTCAGTGCACATTCGCCAAATCACGTCATGTACACCTGTTTCTGACTAAGGCTTTCAGATAACCCTTCCATTCGTTTCCCTATGAAGTAGAACTTTGCTTTGAGAAACCTTAGTTGAGTGAGCTTTAGAGTCAATAATATGTGATGTGAGATCACTCCCGCGATTATGATCGGAAACCAATCACTTGGAACTCCGAAATTGCCATTCTTGAACTTGTCTTTCTTTTCTCCCATTCATTCGGATGAGCATCTCCCTTCAACTCGAAATATTGGAATGATTAGAAATGAGCCAGATTGTAGTTTGTAAATTAATTGCACCTTCATACTGTTACTCTATGCAAAGCTATATAAATTCTGCTTTGTAACAAAAGACTAATATTTATTACTAGTAATTAATACTTATCAATTCTTAGGTAATTAGACTGACTACAATTCACTTCCCTCCTTCAAAGAAGTAGCAGATAAGTATCTGCACTAAGTTATCAATTGCATAATACATAAATCATGATATTCATTATTTGTAATTATTTTTAGAGGCAGTCTAGAAGAGAGCTAGTCAAAGATATAAATTTGTAATACTCAGCCCATTCTGTAGAATATTTTGCTAAATTCGCACATTATTATTAATCTTGAGATAGTTCAGGAACTAAAGAACACAAAGTAGTATAGAGCAAAGTTATTTAAAAATACTATCTCTAAGACACAAGACTCGCTTCGCTCATCCACATGGCCTGTACTATACATCTAGGGAACCGAACCAAGTCGACAAAACAATTGAAATTCGTAACCACAATTTACGGAGTTTTGTTGCTGTGAGACGGGGAGAGGGCACATTCCGAACCGCATCTTAATTGAAAATCTCTGCGCGTAGGGTTCGGAGTGCTCGGTGCACCTTCGATCTTCCGATAAATGATGAGATGAGTGATGAGCGGGTACAGACAGATTATTTCTTCTGTAGCGTTGTTGTGGGCTTCTTTATGTATTCGAGGATTTTTCTCATCGTCGTTGAGGTGGAAGAGAGTTTAGAACGCCGGAAGAAATAGTAAATACGGTGAGTTGGAGAGTTATGAAGTGAACCAAGATGAACTTTAACCTTGAGCGGTGATTGTATAATATATTGATTAGGTGGTTCTTTCGCACGATTGCTAAATTTTACGAGACTCGAGAGCGAGTCACTTGAATTTTGACTCATTACGGAAACACGCATACAAGTACCATCGGTATTCTTGAGTATACATCTCTTTCTTAGCTTAGACGACTCCTAGATTCTTTCTATAGACGAGGAAGGTGCTTGTTACTAGACATGGCAACCACACGACCACAACTCTGGCTACGCGCAGAGAAGAAGCCTCTTGAGCGGCGAGCAGCTTTGACACCAACAACTGCCAAGAAGCTCATCGATGCCGGGTTTGAAATCTTCGTCGAATGCGACGAGCAGCGCATCTTTGACGATTCTGAATACGAAAAGTAAGCAACCTGTCCTATCTCCTTGCTCCATTTGAATATTAATGATGTTTAATTACTTTCTTATTTTCTCGCTTCGCTCATATTCCAACTGCAACCTTGTGATGAATCGACGCTCAATCTGCATTGCATTGCATTCATACTGAATCTGCGATCACTGACCCGACTCGAACGCGTCCCGTTCCGTCGCTGGACCGCACATATATCACTCTCAAACCCATGACAACGATCACGTTACCCCTCACTATTCCGCGCCGAACACGACGCACCGCAACGGAACGCATGCAGAGTGGGCTGTAAGCTGGTAGAGAACTGGTCCTGGGCGTCCGCGCCCAAGGACATACCCATCATCGGGCTCAAAGAGCTCCCGGAATCCTCAGACGAACCCATCGCGCACACACACATCCAATTCGCACACTGCTACAAGCGGCAGGCGGGTTGGAGTAAGGTGTTGGCGCGGTTTGCGCGCGGTGGGGGGACGTTGTATGATTTGGAGTTTTTGACTGATGAGAAAGGGAGACGGGTCGCAGCGTTTGGGTTCTATGCGGGGTTTACAGGTGCTGCTGCTGGCGTTCTTGCGCTTGCATCTCAGAAGAAGGGAGAGCGGTTAGGTCCGCTTGAGCCATATGCGAATGAGGAGATCATGATTGAGAGTTTGAAGAAGGCTCTTGGAGGAAGTGGGAAGGGAACGCGTGCACTCGTTATCGGCGCCCTCGGGCGTTGTGGACGTGGTGCGGTCGATCTACTGAGGAAGATCGGTCTCGACGAGTGAGTTGCACTTTCCGGCTGCTTTGGGCTATGCACACGTTATGAAACGCGTTTCTTTCGCACTTCTGTCTCCCCAACCTTCTTCTGATGTTCGTTATTATTTACAATTGTAGGGATGACATCCTGAAGTGGGATCTGGACGAGACGGCAAAGGGAGGACCCTTCCAGGAGATTCTGGATGTTGACATCTTTATCAACTGCATTTACCTCTCATCTCCTATACCGCCGTTCATTACGTATGACACGATTAAGGCCGCAGGGTCTGCTCGGCGTCTGAACGTAATCGTCGACGTGAGCTGCGACACGACGAACCCGAACAACCCGATTCCAGTTTACTCAATCAACACGACGTTCCCGAAGCCTACTGTAGATGTCGAACTTGGGTAAGTGAGCATATATGCATTCATATACACATAAATCCATTTCGGAAGCAAAAACGGCCGTAATATAAAGTGTTGTACGTTAATTTACTGACGATCTTCCTTTTCCCTTTCCTTTGGTTTCGCCTTCCTTGCTTGGCCCATTCATTTGGTGGTTGTAAAGACCGGAGTATCCGTTACTTTCCGTCATCTCCATTGACCATCTTCCGACGCTTCTGCCGCGCGAGGCTTCCGAGCAGTTCAGCGCGGACCTGCTGCCGTCATTATTGGAATTCCCACTGCGGCGTGAAAAGAGGGTGTGGACGGATGCTGAAAAGCTGTTCAGAGAAAAGCTTGCGGAGGCCGTCAAGGCAGAAAACCTGCAGGTGTAGAGTATACAAAAAGTGCTGCGCGGGCACCAGCTATTGAGTATTAAAATGTAACAAAGGCGAGCGGACGCAGCCTTACGCAGCCTCGTAGCTGCGGTTCCGAAGACGTAGAGAGGACTAGTGTGGTAGCTACGAGCCACGGATATACATGTGCATATAAAACATAAATTGATGTCACCATGGATGATGATCGACGCGAGTGAAACGGCGAAATACCGGATTGAGATCTTTTTTAGAAAAGGAATACGTATACGATGAAAGTAAAAATGGAGGTGGAGCTGTCTACGTCTACTTGGATGGTTTGTGCCAGCAGCAGAAGGATTCGTATTAATGTGATGGCCAACGAAGAGAGGTGAGGTGGACGTGTGTGTTGTGTTGTCTGCAGTAGGTAGAACAAAGTCGAGGAGAGGCTATGGCCAGGTGTGGCAACGAGATGTTGTGTGCATAATACATTGCTCCTTTCCGATGGCTTTTCCTCGCCTCTGATCGTCTCCACCTTCCGCAGGGCCGCTCTCGTTGTCACCGCAGCCTGTATGCCTTGCCGAGACCGCACCCTGCACAAGTACTAAAGTCCTTATCCGTCTCGCCACAGCACTCCTCGCTTACCCCGTTTGCACGCCCCACTCCAAGTTCTTTCATTTCTTCTCTCTCTGTCTCCTTTCGCCTTCCTATTTCTTTTGCTCCATCTTTTTCAACCCTGCCCAGCAAGTTCTGGTTCATTTTATATTATTTCTCTCATACCTGCATCACGCTACTTTTGCTCTGTTACTGTCTCTCCGTCTCTCTCTCTCTCCTTGATTGACTTGACGTATTTTCTCGCGGCAATTGAATAGAATCCAACAACCCAGACAGGCCATCATTTCGAACAACGCAATCTCGAGCAACCACAATCACACGACTACAACTCCCGATCGCACTGGTGCTGGGCATCTACCTTTTCCCAACTCAACTGAGCAATTGTATTGTCCTATCTTCCCTCGCAACCGACGAGAGCGTGCTTGTCCTGTCCCGTCCTATATCTCTTGACGCGCGACAGCCAAACTAGATGTCTGTATCCCCACCTGTCCCCATAATTGAAATCTCGCTCGCGCCCCCGGAGGAGCCGCAGCCCGAGCCCTACTCTCCTTTCACCCCCATGAACTCTGGCTTCCCATCCGCCGCTGGTCGCGACGCGGACGTCAACGACGACGCGTACAGGCCGGCCCTCCTCACGCCGCCGCCGCTGCAGAGCTGGTCACTCTCGCAGCGTCGGCCGCTGAGTGTGCAGCCGAAGAACAAGGGTCTTAGGGACGAGGAGTTTCAGGCGCTCCTCCGCGCGTCAAGGGAGCGCGGGGTCACTGCGAGCGCTAGGAAGCAGGATCTGCGGAAGGAGGTGGCGCTCAAGGCGCACAAGACCAGGCAACGTACGTGACCGTTCATGTCTCATACTCTTTGGTCGCTGTGCTAACATTTGCCTGCTTTTATTTTTTCTCTTCTTGATATGACATACTGCTACTGCTCTTTTTTCTGTTCGATTTGGACGTACACCTCAGTCGAGCGTCGTGCTCTATTCTTGTCAAAGATTGGAGCTCCTCCCTCACCTACGGCAACCTCGCTTCCGAAGACACCTCCAGACTCCCCAGCGATCTTCCACTACTCGCTTCCGTCACCTGGGTTATGCTCGCCACTCGCCTTATTCGAGAAGCTTGGTCTTGACGACCAAGATGCTGAAGAACGCGGTGCACGTAAAGTCTGGGTCGAGCAGGTGGACTTTCGCCTTCCTAGGCAACCAGAGCCAGTGTCATTACCAATGTCAATGCCAACGATAGTGCGACAATCGGCTCCGACTTCCGAGGTAGCCTCGCGCTATGCACAACCGCAATCGCAATTTGAGCTGCCAAGTATCACCGTGACGACGGCGGAACGCCCGCAGCAGGACAAGAAGGGACATGCGCGTAAGAGGTCGATTCCTTCGTTGGAAGACATCACGGAACGGTATTCCGCACAGGCGAGTGGTGGTGCGACTACTGTCGCTGCTGCCTCGCCAACGCCCGCGAGAGCAAGGGCACCGCTTCCTGCCTTCCTCAATGTGCGAAGACAGAGTCCGCCACCACCACCACCTGTGGAGGTACCTGAGGTGAAGGTCATTGCTCCTGAGTCAATGACTCGTCCGCGATTGACATGTACGGGACGGATTCAGTTCCCGTCGCGCTCGCCTTCACCGCCATCGTCCAAGCCGCTTCCTGCTCTCCCGTCTGGACCAGCCCCACTTATGATGCGAGGTGCTAGACAACGGACGAACGCACTCCCTCCACTGCCTACCTCCCCTCGCTCGCCTTCACCGCCTTCGTTACAAATAACGATCACGCACGTCCCGCGTACGGAATCGACGAGCCCCGTCCAGCTTACCGAGGCGAATTTGTACGCGCTTAACTCGCGTGCGGCTACTGCGCGCGATATGCTTAGTACGATTCGACGACGGACTGTCGTTTCGTATGGTCGTGTTTGTATACCACCGCCGAAATCTGCTTCTGCGTTCGTGGGTGGTGTAGGTGAGGAAGAGGATGAGAAGCAACGAAGGCGACATAGTGCACCTGCGGATATGCCGTCGAAGGGTGGACGTACAGGGTTCTCGCATCCCGTACTTGCGCACCCTAGCGGATTCTGAGTCCCTAGGTTGACTCGTTTCGCTCACTTGCTCTTCGTCGCCCTCATCTCGTTGGCTTGGTAATTGGTGTACTTGTATTGCGCTGCGCTTTCTTTTCTGGTTCTGGCACTGGCACTGGCAGATGGACCATTTTTTTATCTTTTACATTTGAGATTAGGGAGGTTCAACTTCCTGTCTCCGTTTCTGGTTGGTTGCACTTCATTCACGCAACCCACACGCTCTCTTTACATGTGTGTGGTGAATTACACCACAGCAACCACAATTACTCTGTGTCGTTTCGATGCGCCGCGTTATTGTTGTCGTATTGGGCTGGCCCAGTTGCTTTTTTTCCTTCCACGCGCATCTGCGTTACTCCTTCCTTACCTTACACGTCGTACCTCGTACCTTACTACTTACTACAAAGTTGCCTTGAGCAATGCATCATTATCACAGCGTATCCCACCTGCGTTCATTCACTCAAATCCTCGTATGTCGTTGTTGGTTTTGTTTGATGTAGGTTTTAGCAAGAAGAATGAATTGAAGAAAAAAATTGTTTGGAGATCCAGCAGTCCGATCAAGTGAATGTACCGATTGTATTTGTGCCACAGTTCTCTATGTCAACTCTTAGTCTCACCAACATCTCTGTTTCCGTCGTGTCAGAACTAAACAGTCTCTCTCACTCTATCCAGATCCGTTCTACGTTCCTGTAGACTGTTTCATTACATAGCCTTAGTCCAGTACTGATTCCTGTTGTAGGGCAATGCATAGAACGACGGTGAAGAAGCGGAACAAAGCTAAAAGCGTATAGAGATCCACACACAGAGTGTAACTGATGCATGCTCTGGTTACCAGTATGATACCTTAAAGCTTCATACAATACTAATCAATGCGGTGACTCCGTGGTGGATACAATCACTCAAGTGATTCTGATGACTTGGATGACTTGGAAATGACTCTTACAAAGTAGCTTAAATTCAAATACATGCTCTTCTTAGTAACGGCCTTGTCCACTCCGGCTCTACATCTGACTTGGCCAGCCAGACAGTACTTTGCACACATTAATATTGCTTCTTCCTCCTCTATTCCTCGATTACATGTAACCATCCTAATACTTGTATCCAGGTGCATTCATTGCAGCTTCTTGAAGAGGAAGTATCTATCATCTACAAAGTAAGAATGCATCCATTCAATTTGCTACTTTCTACAGGCAAGGAAATACCCTTTGCTGTCAGGTCCACAATGCCTATAAAGCAGGCACATGTATAGATTGTGATAGAGCACATTAAGAACTGAACCGAACTGTAGTAGCAGTCAAGTAATGACTTCTCATCAAAGACAAGATAAAGAATTGCCTCAGAAAAGAGAGCAAGCTCCTAGCAATCACAGTAGTACATTGTCTACTAAAGAATCTACACATTCCTCTCATAGAGAGAGTAGGCCTCATTCCAGTTCACAGACTGTAGAGAACAATACTGAGACAACCAGAGAAATGTGCAAAAAAGTTATAGAAGCTAAAGCTGAGCTAAGTGATTTTATTGAGGAAAAACTTAGTATTGTCAGTAATATGAATACTACTATGTTACAAAACAATGAGAATGAAGGTTCTGAAAGGAAACAAAAACTTGAAAAATACAAAAAACAGCTTGAATCAATGCAAGACACATTGTCAAAATGCAAGATTCCTGACCCAGAAACAATTGACCCTATGAACAATAATAGTTTAAATTCTGTAGTTCAATTTCACAGTACAGTTTCACAAGTACTTACAGCTCTTATAAGTCTTAAACCAAAGATTTTCAAATTGGAGGAAGATCTTTACAGTCCAAAGAAAACACAATCTACTAACTTGAAGACTTTATTTACTAGAAAATTTAGTAAGAAATAATATACTAGCTTTATATTATTATATATAAATATACAAGAAATTTAATAAATCTGTCTAACACTGTTTTCTTAGTCTCTGTATAAAGTACAAACTAGTATAATAATACAAAACTTATAAAGATATTAACATTACACTTTGTTTATAATTCTGTATACTTTAATTTAAATATAAGTTTTTCTACCTTACTTAAAAATACTATACTCAGCTGTATAACTGTAACTGTAACATTAACACAGTACTAGTCAGGTTGCTACAAGTAATGTAAAATTCAGATGAGTTGTACTTGTAATAGTATTACAAGAATAAAAAATTTGTATTGAAAATTTTAAGTAAAAAACATAGTAAAAAACATAGTAGACAAGTAGAGTAAGTTGTATTAATAAAGTACTAATTTTTTTACTCTTTTTATATCTTTTAAAACAGTGTAAACTATATTAAGTACTTATATATATATATTTGTTCTATCTATTACATGTAGTAGTAAAAAAACAGTAGTACAAATGTAGTAGTACATTTGTAGTAAAATATTTATGTAGTAACTGTCTAAATAGGCTAGTTACTCAAATTTGACTGTATCACATTACTCTCAGTTATAGTTATATAGTTAAGTACAGTATTTTAACTTTCTCTTATAATTTTTAAACTAATCTGTTAGCTTACTTAATAAATCCTACTATACTTTAGCTTAGATTTATTTTGAAAATGTTTCTTATATAGACTCAGGTTCTACTTTGAACACTCTTTATATTATTTTACAATATTATAATTATTTTGTATTATTTTAATATAAAGTATTATTATTATTGTATCAAGGCTAACTAGTTGTTTTACTATCCTTACTTTTGTATACACACTTATATTACTCTTTCTTACTTTACACTCTGTATTTTACAACTTTTAGGTTGTATAAGTAATTTATTATTATAGTGTACTCTGTGTTTACTCATATATTTACTAATGTAAAATCTATTATTAATTTGTTTAATATAGGTTTTAGTTAGAAGAAAAGAATTGAAGAAAATATTGTCCTAATTGTCTGATTAAGTAATTTCTATTATACTAATATTAAGGTTCTTTATTTCTGAGTCTTACTAACTTCTCTTACTTTTGAGAGTAAGTAAAAGAGCTCTCTTTCTTTCTTTAGATCTGTTTTACATTCTTGTTAACTATTTTACTATATAACTCTAATCTAGTACTGATTCAAGTTATAAAGTAATACACAAAATAACAAGTAAGAAACAAAACAAGACTAAAAGTGTATAAAGTTTTATACATAAGTATAACTAATATTTATACTAGTTATTATAATAATACTAGAAACTTTATTAAATACTAATTAATATAACTTCTTTATAGTAGATACAGTTATAAAATTGATTCAAATAAGTAGGAAGATCTGAATATAATTCTTATAAAGTAATTCTAATATAAGTATGTACTTTTAGTAATACATTATATATTAAGTATTTATTTCTAGTTTTAAGAGTAACTAATAGTATAGAACAAAGTTATACTATTAGCTTTCTAGATAGTACTTTATATATATTTCTTCTTCCTCTATTCCTTAATTACTTATAATAATTATAATACTTATTTTTAAATGTATATAAAGTAAATTCTTAAAAAAGTATTCTTCATTTCTATAGTAAAAACACATTAATATAATTTACTACTCTTTATGACTGAGGAAATACTCTTTACATATTAGCTTTACTATAAGTTATATAATACTTATAAATTAGTTAATACACTTATAAATTACAAATATACTTATAAAGAATCTAGTCTAGTAATAATAGTTAAAAGAAAATAGCTTTTAATTAAAGACAAGATAAACAAACTCTATACAAACAAACCTTGGTTTTTAAGGACTAGAATAGTATATTGTCTAATAGAGAAAATTATACTTATTTTACTCTAGTAAATAGTTATTCTAAAGCTAACAGAAATAATAATAACTTAGTTAATAATACTTTTACAAAAATTCTTAAGAATACAAATAATAAATATAGTTATTACTAGAACTCATCTTATAAAAGATACAATTAAAGTATATGTTAACTGTACAAATACTATATTACAAAATTTTAAGAAAAAAAAATAAAACAAAAACTAAATATTTATAAAAATTAGTTTCAAACATTTTAAAGTCAACTATTAAAGTCAATTCAGATACAGTTGTATCTGACTCTATTTACAAAAGAAATGTTAAGAAGAATATTAAGTTATATAAAGAATTGACTAATAAGACTAAAGATTATAATAAAGATTATTAAAATAAATAGTAAATTTAACAAAGTGTAAAAATAACTTACTAAGTCAACATTAACTATATTGCTGAATAATACTAATTATTATAATATAATAACTACAATCTTTGTAAATGTTATAAATGTGTAAGGATTGACTCTAACTTATAAGTCTTGTATTTTTACAAATACAATAGTAAATACAAAGGTAATCTGAGACACTAGTAGTTACCTTCTTGTCTCTCTCTCAGTCTATACAATAGTAAAGGTAATCTAGTTCAGATAAATCTATTTTGTTTCCTTTATATTATACACTTGGTCTTATTACATTATTTTGTTTACACATATTTATTAATTTATTAAACACTTACTTGGTAGATTGTTTCTCCTTCATTTTGTTAATACCTTTTTTCATTTTTTCAACTTTTTGTGCAAGGCTTTCAGACTGTATATTTAAACTCTTGATTATGTCAATAGACTTCTCTATAGAATCAGGCACTCTAGAATCTGAATTACATTGTGTTACTTTGTCTTGAATTGATTTAATCTGGCTTTGATAACTCTTCAGTTTACACTTCTTTATAATGTCTGTTCTCTCAAGTTTCTGTAGTATATCATCTATACTTTCTAGGGTTTTCTCATTTTCGTTCCTCAGAAGATCTCTTGTAATTAGGACTATGCTATTTATACTGTCCAGAACTCCAGCAATATCACCTTCAAGAATGTCTTGGTGACCATTTCCAAGCGTGTCAGAACTACTAGTACTTCCTACCTGAGAAGAATGACTGCATTCTTCTCTAGACGAAGTATTCTTCTGGCCCTTGTGATCTTGTCTTCTTTTGCGTGATATCCCTTTATCTTGAGATTGAGTAGAGGTCATTGCTCGTATGCTACCTTAATCAGGCTTGGTTGGCGTGCTCTCTTGTTGTGCTCTCTTGCCCTCTGTACATACATTGATAGTTTTATAGTGTTGCAGTTTCCAAGCAAAGCTTATAAGCAAAGAGCACTTCCTTAGCCTCTGATGAAAATTAATAGTATGTGCACAGTTTCAGTATCAAAAGAACGAGAAGATACTTGTTTAGTAGTCAGTTTGCTCGTTGCCAACACAACAACAACACGTTCCCATCATAACATCAAGCAATGTTTCCTGGAAGACAATAAGCTGCGTTGATCAATATTAATGCATTACTTGGGGAGCTAACTACCTACAACCAGTATCAATCTGTGTGATTTAGATGCGTTGCGTTGTCGTTGTCGTATTGGACTAGCCCAGTAATTTCTCTTCTGCTTCTACGCTTACGTCTCTGTTTCACGTATATCCCTACCCTGCACATGGCACGTTATTATTTATTACACATGTAGGAATAAGATGGCACACCAATTTTTCACAGACATGTAGACTTATCCATTGTCAATCTAGTTTGATGTAGGTTTTACCCGGAAGAATTGAGGGAAAGGTTTTGCTTGAATTCCAATGACGAGCCTATCATCCAAGCAAGCACATATGCTACTTCCACTGCTTCATTCACAGGACTCGTCCAAATTGTCCCTAAAACAACCAGATATAATAAACTTTGGGTTGGATTAGACAGGAAAGGGGCTAATGTCAATGCCGTTTGCTAGAGCACGTCCCAAGCCTAAGCTTACTATGACTCTAGGACAAGCTGCCATCGTTTTTGCTCGGCATTGTTGTAGTTTACGAAAGAAGAAAAGCAGGGCGTGGTTCAGTTCCAGTCAGTCTCAAGCGCACCTGATGTATGTCAATCCTACTAAGTTCACAAGTCAATCTGCTGAACGAATTGACGATATTCGTTCCAAATCAGCACGTGGCTCGGTAACCAGTCACGAGACCTGCCATTCATTCTTCATGACGTGCAATGTTAGTGCATTCAGCAACAGCGTTCAACTAGGAATGGCCAACGAACCTTCAAAGGCGTCCACAAGCTCTCTGCTACCCGCAGACAGGGTCGACTCGGCTCCATCTGAGTCAGATGAAGATGGAGTTCCCGAAGACAGCGAGCAGCTCACAAAGGTGCATTGAGCGGTCTCCTCGTTTAGAACACATGTTGCTAATACGTTGCGTAGAAATGTTTACAAAACGCGAATGAACTTAAACTTGAAGCAACAGAGTATTTCAAGTCGCAGGACTGGTCACAAGCACTTGCGTTGTACACCTCCGCACTTGGTAGACTTCCGAAGCGCGTACGGGAGTCCGAACCGTACGAAGGACCGTCATCGGAAATAGAAGACGTTGACGAGCGGGACAAGGATCACGGCGAGAGCAAACTCGCTGAAGAAAAATCAGAAGAGAAGCCAGAGCCTGTACCTTTGACAGGACTTAAGTTGGAATGTGCAAAAACACGAGCTGTGCTGAATGCCAATATCGGCGCATGCCATGTGAAATTAGTTGAGCATCACGCGTCGCTTGCTCAAAATTAGAATTTGACAGGTTCAACTAGGAGGAGTACAAGGAGGCAGTGAAGGCTTGTTCTGAAGGTAGCATTCGAAGTTCTTGTTGAGACGATCTACTCACTGTAAAATGCCCATAGCGCTCAACGATGATCCAAAGTACATCAAAGCCCTACAACGACGGGCATCGTGTAGCGAAAAAATCGGCTCATGGACTTCCCTTGCAAGTGCGCAGGATGGTGAGTTGAGAAGGCCATATCATATAACAAGTAAAGATATTTACTACGCGGATATAATCAGACTACAACACACTCCTTAAACTCCTTCCACCCGATTCACCACAGATCGGCGTAACCAAACGCTCCTTAGCAGCGCTCAAGCCTCGCATAGAGGAAGCACAGAAGGAAGAGACATCGGAAATGATCGAGAAGCTGAAAGGAATTGGGAATAGCATCCTTGGTAAGTCCATTTTGAGCCGTCTCTCTGATGTAGGTAGTGAGGAGGATTAATTGATTGCAGGTAACTTCGGTCTGTCAACCGACAATTTCAAGTTTGAGCCGAACGGCCAAGGGGGTTATTCTATGAATTTCGCGCGATAATAGACGATTTCGTTCCTCCGGACATTGTAGACCTAGCACTTGTAATTTTAACACGCGCACGTCTCGATACTATCCTAGACATTATGCAATCGCATGTGTGACATGAGAATTTATCCATTTACTCTTCTACCAATATACTTGGTTTATCGCGAAAGATTTTCCAAGGACGTGGGTACACCTAGCACAGTGTAAGAATGGATCAAGCACTTTCAGGATATTATTTCATACCTTAGCTAGTACCCTTGAGCGCACCAGGGCAATTGGTACAGGTCCATAAGTCCTTGAATCACGCGACGCTGCGGCATTATCTCCGGCAATCCATATATGCCCTGGAGGAATCAAGACATGTTCCGAGGATATCTCTTCACCGCTCTCTCCGGACGGATCCACGCAGACAACGTCGCCAGGGAGTCCAATGACACGTTTGCAAATTTGCTGAGACGGATTATAAGGTGAGTCGAGCACGACAAGTTCTCCGCGCCTTGGGTAATATCCGAGTCGTACGGAGAGAGCATCTTCAATGATACATTCCTCCGAGGCAGAAAATGTTGGGAGCATGGATGGGCCGCACACTATACGAGGTCCGCCGACGTAGTTAGTAAATAATATATATCCGCAACCGATCTAACGGTGTGAAGACAGTTCATGGTCAAAACGAGGATTAATCCATTCTGATGCATGGGTTACTCACTTTAATTGGGACAGCTACTATCGCCTTGGCTAACCGAATACCAAACGGCTTTCGTGACTTTAATCCATTGCGAATTGATCTTAGAAACGCAAAACCATAGGCCATTTCTTCTGCAGAAGTAAGGCCTAAACAAGCATTTTAAAATACTGAAGAGAGAATTTATGAAGAGAATCCAGGCGGTCCAGGTCGTTTTTTTGGGGAGTGGATAGGAATAAGAGATGCAAAGTCGTGAAAAAAGGATAGAGAGCACCATTTCCATAAGTGGAAGAGGTAATCATGGTATGGTATGGTATGGTATGGTGAAACATCGTTCATGCAAATCTCGTATCCCATAAAAATTTAGACTTGGGAAAGGAATCGTACTGCTTATGTTCTTGCTATGATTACTGCAAAGAGGTGCTATATCTTTGGAATATCTCGCGATGGTTGCCTTCCCCCTTGAAACAATGCTACTGAAGTACCCCACTTTCTGACATTACCGCCACATATGCTAAGCGATCAGGAATTGGAGCTTGTATGCCCTTGCGTAGCTCTATCAACTGCGCGAACTGTGCAAATGACCCACATTTGTTCCGTCCATTCTGCCGTGCATAGCCCTCTTCGGCACGGGCAAGGTATAAAATCAGAATAATGGATGTAGCTGATGACGGGCAAATCCCTGTACGATATGTCTCTGGTTACGCTCCCCTACAACTCAGGTGAACAGCTCCAACTAGGTATTGACCAGTGGGAAGAGTTCCAACTCACCTCGAAAGATCCGTGTCGAACAGACATTGTGTATCCCAGCACTCCTCAGAAACCTGTCTATGAGATCAGAACAGACGAGTCGGGTTCCAAGCCCGTAACGTCATATGTCGACGCAACAGGAAACGTTTTTGCTACTCTGGAATGGCATATGTACCTCAGCGACAAACTTACAGTACGAGGAGGCCCTAGTCAGAATGTGAGCAAATGGTTGAAGAACCGAAAGATGTCCAATAGACAGTGAGTGTTGCATATCAAAAAGTACTGTTTAAAATAATCAAGTCTTTTCTGACAATGTTATACATTAGAGGCGCTTCCTTCACTGACGGGAACGGAGAATCTTACACATGGAAGAGTGCAGAGAGAAAAAGTATGCCGACTCTTGAGGTAAAGCAATCATTGGCTTGATTCATTGCCGAGTGTACTTGAAAACATATTCTCAAACAGCTATTCATGGACAATGACCCTTCATGTCCAATAGCAATTTCCATCCCGTCCACGAAAGGAAGATTACACATCGATCCAGGTGCCAGACCAGCTAGCATGTATTTCTCAGAGCAAGCACTTCCAGCTCGCCACGAGATTGTATTATCGGCTCTCTTAATTGACAAGCAGAGGACGTTCTCTGGGAAGGGATCAGTGTTCCAGTCGCAGTTTGCAACCTTAGGACTCAGTGGTGTAGGTGCTATATCAATGTAGATTCTCAATGCATAAGATAATGTTGTGATGTTGTGAATAGAGTATTTGTTGTCTACATAATTTGTAAGGAGAGTAAGCTGCTGGCTAACCTGTATCTCCGTAAGTATAACAATTAAAATCACGCTTGATCACGTCAGGGAAAAGTCCATTTTCTTATATAGCTTTATAGTTCTTATATAGTAGAATACACATTATTTATAAATTATATAGCAACTGTAAGAATTTTAATAAGGTTATAAAGTAAAGATAATTCTTATACATCTTATAAAGGTTCTAAAAGTATTATTAATGAATATAACACAGTATATGTATTATAATAGCTTTAAATATTGAGTAAATATATTTTAACAAAAATATATTGAGAGTAAATACTTTATTATAGTATTTTACTTGAAGAAAAAGACTTGTGTCTACTATATAATATAATATAAAAG